ATTGGCACCGTCACAGCTGGGAGGTCTGAATGCTTTTCTTCTTTCAGATATAGATGAGGACTCATAGTCGACCACTTATTGCCCAACTGTCAGTTAGGGAGAAGCATTCATATAATAGGTATTTTTTTGTGATCTGTTGGCTAAGATCTTTAAATATATATAGTTCTTAGATTAGGATAATATCAATATCGCTAGTATATGCCAATATAAGAGCTATTTCATATACATCTAATACGTACTCTATATTTAACTATAGGATTTTAAGAGGCGCCTTTTAAGTTGGATAGTAATAGATCATAGCTCCTATTCAAAAAAAGAGGCGAACTGGTTTTAGGGTTGAGGGGTTATAAAATAGACTATACAAGCTATAACTAGTGGATCTTTAGTTGGGGCGCGAGGTGGGGGGGGGGGTACTAGACGGAAAGGGGAGATAATCTTATAGATTGAAGGCTGTGATGGCATCTCATCTAATACCATAGGTGTTTCTTATGTACCTATTGTAACAACGTTACGAGGGGTATGTATAGTTACGTCGAGAGGGATCACAGAAGGCTTAAGCACACAAGGTAGGGTATGGAATGTCAATGTACTGAAACCTACTCCTTCTGCTTCTGCAGCGTGCGTTCTATATAAGAGACATTCATATTGCTTCACAGCAATACGTCGTTGACCATAACTAGCTGAATATTGACCATAACCAGCTGAACCCTGACCATGACCAGCTGAAGTATCTACACTTTTGCCACTCCTGTTCTAACCCTAACCCCTAGGAGGTCTATTAGACATGTTGGTTGTTACACCTATGGAGAGCTAAGAGCTATATCCTCCTTCAGTTCAAGCTTTTGTAAGGTTTATAGCACAGGATTTGCAGATCTCTACTTATTGAGCTTTAGTATATTTAGTGTTGCCTTTGGAGTGCAGGAGGCATTCTAGGAAATCAGCTGGATTGTAACAACGTTACAAGGGATACGTATAGGGATTCAAGAGGGATCACAAGAATTGAGTATACAAGGTAGGGTATGGAATGTCAATGTACTGAAACCTATCTTTTGCTATCCTGGAGCATCTGCCATCTTTATAGATATACAATGTGTACCAGATCTCCCTTCTCTGAATAGCTCCAGTAGTCAAGGTGCAGTCCGAGGGAGCTGAAACCATCCTCGAACATATAAGCCTTCACCTGGTGTAGCTGAAACTCAACTTGAGACGTATTGGGCGCATTTCTTGGAATAGTTAGACCCTAAAGCCTGCTGGTTGTTACATGGATATAGTCTATGACAGTATATATATCTAGGCGGGCATTGATAAGGCTCCAGGGCTGTGCAGTGGTTAATATGGCCCTCTTCAGTATGCTCTGAGGAGCCACATAGCCAATATCAAGAGAGGCATGCATAGGATCGTATATTATGCCATTTCCAGTATTATGTGTATTAAATAACTATTGTTTTCTTAGAGAGGTGATGAGCATTAATAATAATACCCAAAAAGACATAGCTGGATAGGTAGTGGTGATTTCATGCCTTCTAGGAAGTTAATAAACCAGCTTGATGAGAGAGTATCAGTGTAACAACCAACATGCTTGTCCAATCTCTTAGGGATTAGGGTTGGTTTGATACGAGGACAAACTTAACGGAGAGTGGCAAAAGTGAGGATACTTCAGCTGGTCATGGTCAAATGTTCAGCTGGCTATGGACAACTTTTGGCTGGCTGTGGTCAATGATATTTGCCACGAAACAACATCAATGTCTCTTATATAGAAAGCATGCTGCGGAAGCAGGAGAGATAGGTTTCAGTACATTGACATTCCATACCCTACCTTGTATACTCAACTCTTGTGATCCCTCTTGAATCTCTATACGTATCCCTCGTAACGTTGTTACAATCAGGGTTGGTAGCACTCATAGTGGTCTTACTGATAGATATAGGCTTGAGCCCTGTAGTTTCACTAATTTCTGAGGATAGTAGTGTAGGATTGATAGGGATTAGAGAGTATTAACCATCTAAGATTTGGCCAATTTTCCTTGGCACATTAGTGACTTGGTATGAGACCCATTAGGAGCTGCGTTCTATCTGGCAGTTAATAAAGAATGCAGAGATAATCTCTTTTTAGGCCTCAAGGGCTAGGAGGGCTTCTAGAGATGAGGGGCATAGTGCAAAGCCAGTCTTTGTAGCTTAAATTTCTTTTAATGCTGCACTGTTTAAGTTTAGTTAAGACTATAGGCTAGAGTAGATGGCATAGGCTTCCATTTTTCTAGCTGCATGGTCAGCTGGGAGGCATACGAAGAGCCAGTTATCAGGAAGGGGTTATTTCACCAGAGGCATAGGCTTTTTAACAGAGGCTTTAAAGTGAGTAGTGGGAGTTGATTTAACTAGGGCATGTTGAGTAATAGTTGCATAAGTTGACTGTTCAAGACCTGAGGGGGGACGTGAGGGAGGGGGTAAAGAGGGTAAGGAATTTAGGGTGGGGGAAGAGAAAGGGGAAGGAGACAGGACAGGTAGAATGGAGGTCGTCAAGATACCACTAAAAAAGGTATTAAAGTGTTGTTGGGCTACCAAGGCGAGGTCATCGCTTAGAGTGGTGAGGGCTCTCAGTAGATGAGGGGCAAGGCCGGTGGTTTAGCTGGGGTATTTATCAAGGAATGCGGCTATGGGGCTGAAGATCTTCTGTCCTTCAGAAGCTCTTGTCGTGGCTGCAGACGTGTAGGGCTGTCTGTAGAGGGCCGTCTGTAGAGGGCCGTCTGTACCAGGGCCTTTACGCGCCATGGTGTTGCTGGGCGCGTTGAGACGCGTCAAAGGCTGCACTCCTGGGAGCTAGGTGGTAGAGAGGGGTGTGGAATTTGAGCCTCTGACTGTTTGATATTCACGTTCCGACAGTTATAATTATTAAAATTAAGATTATTAGATAAAAATGTGTGGTGAATAAACCAGCATAATTATCTAATCCCTAAATCGTATAGGTAGGTTGATCGCTCGCCCAGAACGAGATATGCCTGTTTTTGGCCTCTTTGAAGAAACCTTCTCATTACTCTTGATAACCTTACTGTATCGCCTCTTTCAAGTGTTTACCTGCTTTGCTAGCCTTTCTTTGCCTTGCTTTACCTCCTTCCGGGCTTCTCAGGCCACACAAAGTTGCTTCTTTTCAAGTTCTTTTTGACAACCTTTTCTCCTCTCGTTCACGGATTCGAGTCTCTCGCTGTTCCTGGATCTCTTGGGCCTTCTGTTGGCGCGCAAATGCCTTTTATGTATGTCGGTTTGCTGCCTTGATCTTTCCCTGTTCCTTTTGTAACTCAATATTCTGTATTTGCTGTCGTGCAGCTTCAATTCTGCCCAGTGAGAAGAATTGTGCCTCACTGGAATTATCCTTATTAATTAAACCTAGTGGCCGGCCTCGCTTCTGCCGTTTTTTCTCTCCAATTAATGGATTGACCAAGCCTTACTGCTAATGTTTAAGTATTTCATTCTATATTGTATATTTTTGAAGTACTTTAAGAGCAAGTTGTGTAGCCTCTGATAGATCACTCTTTTCCTATTGAATAGCTTTAAGTGTACGACGAATTACTCGAATAGATCCTGGAGTCTTTCATTTATTTTCAATATTGCTTAAGATTGGCGATGGCCTCTTTTTTTGAGAATGTTAGAACCTTTAGTGGATTGAAAGGGTGAATGCCCGGTGAAGCAAAAGCTGATCGAATATTTTGCAACGTTAAGGTTAATTTCCATGCAGCATAGAATAATCGCCAAAAGGATGCTTTTGTTATCCTTGAAAATCCACTACTTGATTCAGTAAGTCGATCAATCTCATGAGAATAAGCACCTGCAAGAGGTGAAAAGATTCCAACATCAAGCGGCTATAATCGATGCGTAGAGTGTGGAGGTAAAATACCAAGAATTATATTGTTTTAATCGTAGTATTCAATAAAACGAAGATTAACATGGCTTGAATGACCATCTGTAAGTAGAAGGTGCTTTGAATTGCCTGCTTTTGCTTTTATATGAGGGTCAAAGATCTTGGTTAGCCATAAAAATCCAAGCTCTTCATTTGTCCAACCCTTTTCAGAAGTTGCAAAGTGTGCCTTCTCTCTTGAGCCATTAAAATCTTTAAGCCAAGTATCTTGTAGATCTCCTGACTCGCCTTGATAAATAAGAGCTGGAGGAATTGCTATTCCATTAGCACAAATACATGTAATAAGTGTTGGTTGCTTCATGCAATCGAGATGTGTCAGATAAGCTGGCTTTCCAATGAAGCCATCAAATGAAGCGATCAATCCGAAACTGTTATGTGTAAGAGAATGGTCTCAGGTTTACCCCATGGCCCATGGGATAGCTTACAAATCAGCTCAGGAGAAGGTCTATATAGACGCGGCTTTGGAACATGATGTACTTAGAAGAAGTGAACACACAGAACTGAAAGAATCACCTATTGAGATTGACTCAAGTGCTTCGTACGTACGTATATGCACCTTAGTGCACCCACACTGATCAGTCTTGGTTGCAAAACTAAGACAGATTGGCAAGGTCTCTGAATTCTATATCGATAGTCACCTGTGGCTACAGAATAGAACCGGATTCCAGGATTTGAGCTTCTTAGTGTAAGAAACCAAGTCCAGTGGAAGAGGGAGATTTGACGCCGTCAACCTGTTGACGAATCGAGTCTTTGCTAAAAGGCTTCCTCATCTCTGAGCGAGATCTAGAGAACCTGTGGCCTGGGATAGGTTGTTATTATAACAACATTCTAGAGCTACCGCCCTATCGTGAGACACGTCGTTGGCACGTACATAAGCCAACAACAAAAACAATCATCGAGAAAAACGTGACACCTTGTTGAAAGTTTCACAATATCAACAAGACCAGTCATGGTTAACGAAAACACCACCCCATCGGATAATGACCAGGATAACACTGGCGAACATCAATACCAAGATTCACCTCCAGGAGATGGAAGAGTCTCCCCAAGCATTTACCAAATAGTACCAGAAAGCAACTTCCCTGACGACAGATAGATGACTGAGATTGGATTCAACAACGAGACCGGACGCAAGTTGGTTAACATGGCGCTATGGGATAAGGAAGTTGAACCTGGCGACAACGAGATAGCATTATCTACTCATGCAATAAGTGCCTTGTACTATGCCGCGTGCAATCAATATATTGATTATGAGATCTTCATGTGGCTTCTTGATTACTTCGGTAACTGGACCCATGATGACTTCAAACGGCTTAGCGTACACATCCAGAAAAAGATCAAGGACATGCTAATGGACCGAGGCATCTTTGTTGATTATATTGGCAGGAAAAAGACGATTGCAAAGGCACTAGATGACTTAGTGCAGATGACTAGGATGCCTGAGTGGCCGCATGAGATTGCTGCCGCCAAAGCCTTTGACTCACGGTCGAAGATGGCCAAGGGTCAGTTCCCTCAACTCGCCACCAAAAATGGCAGTGAAGAAGAGGAACCAGAGGTAATAGCCTCCTTGATTGAGGATGGCAGAGAGGACTACGAAAAGGGTAAGCAACCGTTGGTAGAGACACCAAAGCAGGCATCTCAAGATCATGATCAACAGCCAAAAAATCATGCTCAAAATGACAAGCCTAGTAGACCTCATGACCACTTAAGCTTGCCTGGACCTACTTATACTTACCCATACCGCTCTAAACTTGAGGACGACTGGCGCAGGCAGACACCGCGCTATACCATAGCACCCCCGGCGCCCAAGATCTCAATGTCATCGGAGAAGTGGGACGATTGGACTATGCTACCACCTAGGGAAGTTGGATGTGAGCATATTGATTCGAAGTCAATGCTCACGTTCGTCAAGATATAGGATAAAAAGCTTACTTACTCTGGAGATCGGTACGACATCTTGGACGACAAAGTACGCGCATTCTTAAGAGCGTGCAAGCTCTCTAGCATCTCGATTAGTCAATGTTGGGAAGTCTTCCCTGAGATGCTATCTGGACGTGCAGGGGCGTACCACATGCACCACATCAAGCCAGGTGCTTCCTTCGCTCAAGCATACAACGCGATAAAAGCATACTTTGACACGCCCAACAACCAGACAGATTACTACCAGGAGTGGACCACAGTCACTCTTGCTGGAGAGCGCCAAAGCAATCCCAGCAAATCGTGGGTTGAGGTCGTAGATCTCATGGTTGATAAACTTCATTTATGCCAGCGAGCATTAGGATCAGCATATGCTGGTGATGAACACCTTATTGCCGCCATCACAAGAGCGTGCCAATCTACACCAGAAATGGGCGAGACTCTCAGTGAACCAACAAGCAGCTTCCAGACAATTATTTCTAAGCTGCGTGCCAGGGCAGGTGTAGTGCAGCAGAAGGAGTTAGCAAGCCAGTACGTGGTAGATAAAGTCAATAATCCTCAAGTATTCTATACAGACAGGAAGTTTATAGGACGCACAAATCATAACAACAGTCCTATATCACGTCAAGAATATCAACGCAAGAACCGTGACGATGCCAAACAACTCAAGAAAAGCAATGGAAGGTATTTTATTTGTCATCGAGAGAACTGCCACTCATGGAAGCATTCTGAAGAAGAACGCCGCGAAGCGCGAGATCGATATGACCGCTATCGACAGGTAGATGGAAGGAAGAAGCTGTCAACCCGCGCTTACCAGACCTTCTTGCAGGAATATGAAGGCACCTCGTCGGAAGAGGAAGACGATGATTCCACCGAGGAGGAGGTTAAGCAGGACGTGACCACCGCATACTTTATGATTAACCAACTGCAAGATCGTGCCTTTATCCACCGGATAACAGGCTGCAATAATGGCATAGAGCCGCCTAGATTTCACCTCGATTTTGAAGTTAAATCATCTGACCAATCAGAAGGTGAAAATAACCACCCTGCACCTGCCTCTTAGTTTCTTCTCGACTCCCATGAAAATGAGATTTTTTATGGGATTATGCCAGATACAGGAGCATCGACTGTCTCAACCGTTGGTAAAGGACAACTTGCCGCCTTCCTGAGACTCTATCCCCACACCAAGGTCGATAGATCGCGTGCAGGAGAGTACTCAGTCCGCTTCGGCATGAGCAACCCAATAATCTCGACTGCGGTGATTACCGTGGAATCGCAGTTTGGTGATATAGAATTTAACACCATGGATTTACCAACGCCTTTCCTGTTCTGCCTCAAAGATATGGATCGCCTACGCGTTAAGTTTGACAACCTCACCAACGAGATGATCCAGGGAGACCTTATCGTACCGGTTATTCGCAAGCGAGGCCACCCGTGGTTCTTCCTGGATGAGAAGTATGCACCAGAGGCGTTTCTAACTGAGGTCAAGATGAGGCGGTTACATCGACGGTTTGGTCACCCTGCAGTTGATAGGCTGCACAAGGTCTTAAAGCGTGCAGGCCATCTTGACGTGGATTATAAGATGCTTGCGCAGATTGAAGAATTCTGCCACCATTGCCAAATAAACTGGCAAGCACCCAAACAGTTCAAATTCACGTTGCATGACGACTGCGAGTACAACTACGAGATCGTTGTTGATGTTATGTATCTTGATGGCAAGCCAGTACTGCACATCGTTGACTGGGCAACCTCATTCCAAGTAGCAAAATTCTTGAAGTCTCTGTCAACTAAGGACACCTGGGAAGCACTCCAGGCAGCGTGGATTGACACATATCTTGGTCCCCCTGATGTCATATCCCACGACGCAGGAACGAATTTTGCTACAGTAGAATTTAGAACTAAGGCCAAGATGATGGGAATCCAATGCCACCAGGTGCCAGTCGAGGCTCACAATGCTATTGGTAAGGTCGAACGGTACCACACACCACTGCGCCGCGCTTATAATATCATATTGTCGGAACTCGGTACAAGCGTCGACAAGGAGATCATACTTCAGATGGCGGTTAAGGCTGTCAATGACACAGTAGGACCAGATGGATTAGTACCAACCGTACTAGTCTTTGGTGCCTATCCTCGCATGACTTACAACTCGCCACCATCAGCATTGACAGCAAAGCGCGCCCAGGCCATGAGGAAGGCCATGATCGACTTAAGGAACGCCATGGCCACGCGTAAAGTCAATGACGCTCTCAAGGCCAGGAACGGCCCGATTGTCACGGAAACGCTCAACCTGGCACCAGGAACCGACGTGCAGGTCTGGCGAGAAGGTAAAGGATGGACTAGCCCGCACAAAGTTATCTCAGTTAACGATTACAATGTGATTGTGGACCTACCCAGCGGTGTCACTGATTTCCGTGCAACTTCAGTACGACGTTACCAGCGAGACGAGATCGAGTCGTCTCCGACTCGGCGCCTACTAGGCACTGATCTTCCTCCTCAAAAGGAGGAAGAAGGTAGAAAAATCGACGGCCTACTGGCGGGCCGGAAAAGTGGCCCAGCATTTGCTCGGGGATCCTCCTCATGCGACGCTGCTGCCGGCGCGCTGCAAGAAGTGGAATTAGGAGAGCCTGCCGGCGCGGCAAATCCGAATCGCCGCCTGAGGACAAGAGGGATTCATGTTCCTGACGCACCAGTAATGCCGCCAGCGCCACGCCGCCGAGGACGACCTCCAGGTTCGAAGAACAAACCAAAGACCTATACCAATAAGGTCGAGGTGTTCCTATCTAGGAAGGAAAAAGACGACCTAGAACTAGCAGTCAAGCTGCGCCAAGAAGGGAAGATAACCGCGGATGGCGCGCCATTTAAGCTCTCTGCAATGGCTGAGATCGATGGTCTCATTGCGAGTGGCACTTTCAAGATAATGCACCATGATGATTTGGATCTCAGAGGCGTACAAATCTTCAACTCCCGGTTGGTCAATGAGATAAAAGGCAAGAACGAGAAACCGTACGAGAAGTCACGCCTCGTCATACAGGGTTATAACGACGCGGGCAAAACTGGCATACTGACACAAGCGCCGACGATTCAGCGCGCCAGCTAGCGCCTTGTCGTGTCACTTATCGCTACGCTGATTCTCATGGGCATGGTCGTCGATCTGCGTGATATTACCCAGGCGTACACACAGTCAAAAAGTAAGCTACAACGCCTGATTGTTGCCAACCTGCCAGCCGAGATGAGAGATAAATACCCACCGGATTCGCTACTCCTTGTGGAAGGTGCCTTGTACAGGATCCCTGAAGCCGGTGTACACTGGTTTGACACATATCAATCCCATCACAAGGACCGGCTGGGTATGGAGACATCCACGTACGACCCGTGCCTCCTCATGACGACTAAAGGGAAGGAGAACTTTGGCCTTGTCGGTATGCAGACGGACGATACCCTGCTTGTCTCAACAGAAAGTTTTGCCGGAGAGGAACAAGTGGCTTTACAAGAAGCTGGCTTCAAGGCGAAGCCTAAGACACGCCTATCCCAACAAGTGCCAATAGAATTTAATGGCGCTAGAATCACTTTGCAAGATGAAAAGGTCTATTTCCGCCAAAAGGGCCAAGCCGCAAAGATAAAGCCAGTGGGCAAGGAAGACCGCGCACAAAAGTACGTGGAACAACGCGCGCGCGGTGCGTACTTAGCTTCAATCTGCCAACCTGAAGCGGCGTACGACTTGGCAGTGGCCGCTCAGCTGCAGGAGAAAGACCGATCTGAGGCAGATTATGACGCGTTGAATAAACGTCTCATATGGCAAGCCGAGAACCCAGATAGAGGTCTCTGCTTCGTTCCGATTGATTTGACCAAGGCCAAGATCATGATATTTACCGACGGTTCCTTCGCCAACAACCGGGACTTGACCTCCCAAATTGGCTTCCTCATTGCCATGGTAAATGAGGATTTTTCCGAATCAGGCCAATTCACGATAACCGGCAATATCTTGCACTGGGCTTCGTCTAAGTGCAAGCGGATTACACGTAGTGTACTGGCCTCCGAGATTTATGGCCTCACTACTGGCTTCGACCAAGGTTTTACCCTGGCCAGTACAGTCAACATGATTACCAAGAGGCTCGGCCAGCCTGAGATGCCGGTAGTAGTCTGCACAGATTCCTACTCGCTATATGAGTGCCTCACGAAGCTTGGAACGACCAAAGAAAAGCGCTTAATGATCGATCTCATGGCGCTTCGCCAGTCATATGAGCGACATGAGATTGACGAGATCTGATGGATCCACGGTGACGACAACCCTGCAGATGCCTTTACAAAGTCAAACCCAAACAAGGCCCTGCGGGACTTCGTTGGATCCAACAAGGTGACGATCCGGGTGGAAGGCTTCGTTGAGAGGACCAGGATTGATTAGGAGTCGACTAGGAGCCGAATAGGTGGCATATGGGAGGTAGTGCTGACTTACGATAGCGGTTCGCTTGTTGATCGTTTTGTCATGTTTTACTATGGGTTTTTCACAGGTTTCTGGATCTCGATTGCAAATCGATTTATAAAAGAGATCCAGTGTTGGTTGCTTCATGCAATCGAGATGTGTCAGATAAGCTGGCTTTCCAATGAAGCCATCAAATGAAGCGATCAATCCGAAACTGTTATGTGTAAGAGAATGGTCTCAGGTTTACCCCATGGCCCATGGGATAGCTTACAAATCAGCTCAGGAGAAGGTCTATATAGACGCGGCTTTGGAACATGATGTACTTAGAAGAAGTGAACACACAGAACTGAAAGAATCACCTATTGAGATTGACTCAAGTGCTTCGTACGTACGTATATGCACCTTAGTGCACCCACAATAAGAGTAATAAATTCTGTGCTCCCATCTTGAATTGCACCAAGTAATTTCTTTAAATGGAGCTAAGATTTTAAGACAATCCACTTCTCAGTATGACAGAGGCCTATATTGAATCCTTTCTCATCAAAGTTATAGGTATTTGATGGGCTGATGCGATATTTTTTTCATTTTCTCTGTGAGCTTTAGTATATTTATTAGTTAGATAACATAATCAATGAAAATTAAAAGAGGGAATTAGTCAAAAAGTTCATGCTGTATTATAAAAATGTTTAAAATGTACTGAATTATTAGCGACTTTGCGAGAATGATCAATTGCTTTCAGATAAACACTGTCAATTCGATTATAGTAGCGGTGACAGAATCGACGAATCTAGCACTCCCTAACATCATGTTGTAGAAGCTCCACAACAAGATTTCAGAGAATTTGAGGCATTGGAGGTAATCCACGAGATAAGAGCTTCAAGATATAAAGAAGAACTTCTTCTTAGGCATCTGTAAGGAGTTTGCGGTGAATAGAAGTTGCTTCCTGGTTTGACACAGTCTGGCCTTTATACCGACGCCTTAGGGTCGAAGACTCAAGATTATATTTTCTGGCAGTTTTGGCATATTGAGGCGTTTTTTGTGATTCTAGATCACTAATTGCCTTTAAAATATCTGCTTCGTTGACCATGTTATCGAATTTTGAATGTTATTTGTAGGAGCGGGGTAAAACGGGCATCGAGTGATCGGAGGCATCGAGTGATCGGGAACGATAGTTAATTAAGTTTATATGAGTTTTTTCATGAAAACTGGACTTCAAATATTGAATATTGGCGGTGGCGGCGGTGAAGAATTGATGGGGTGGCCCAATGACCCATGTAGTACGTTAGCGGGTATATCAATAGTACTACTACTACTACTACTACTACTACTATAGCTCTCTGTATGCTAGAGAGGAGCGCGCGCTGCCCAGTTTTAGGATAGCGAGAAGATTTTTAGAATATGGAAATAGGGCCAAAGGCTCTAATTAGCTGGAAATCTTATTTTAGCTATCCATATCAGGTTAGAAGGTGTTTTTGAATTTTACGTACTTCCTTTTAGTTATTTAGCTGATAAATAAGGTTTTTTAGTGGTATGATCTTGGCTTAAAAGTCCTGGGTAGAGGAATTATACGTGAGGTATCGCACTCTCAGCGGCTGCTGGATGGATTGATTGATCCACTGCAGAACAGATGAGCTGAGACTGGTACGCGCAATTACCTATTTGGGAGACAAGAAAGTTTCCCAAGTTCAACATTGCTTCCAGCGCTGTGGACAACATGATCATGGCTCATTTCCTTTTGTAGGCCCAGGACGAGTATAAATACATGGACAAGGTCCTCTCATTCCAACCTAGAACATCCAAGCCCAAGCATTTTTCTTATAAGACTACCCTACAAAACAAGATGTACATCTTCTCAGCCATCACCGCTCTCCTCTTGAGTGCCTCACCGGCCATTGTCTCCGGGGCCTCTATTCCTGATCCTCTAGAACGACGAGACTACTGTGGCACGCTCACCACGTTCGCCGAGTCGGACGCCGTTGCCCTGGCAAATTCGCTCCAGAATGCTGAAAATGCTAATGGGGAAATGAAATATGTTCCCGCCCATAGCTATCAAGAGTGGGACTGGGGAAGTGCAAGGCTTTGTGTCTGGAACGATTACATAGCCGAAAACACGCATGTTTCGCTGTGGGAGGCTGGATGGGCAGCCGGATATATTAATAATAAGTGTTGCAAAGGGTCTGAATGGTAGGTGTCTCTTCTTTATTTTCTTTGTTTCGAATCCCTTAGGCTGAAATGAATTTTTTTAATAGCACTGGAGGAGAAGCCACTGCTCATGGCGATAGCGGACTCCGTCTTAGGGTTGTCCTGAAGGGCACGAGCGAGTCCTGTATGTAGAGAGGTTATCTTCTCTTGCTACCTACTCGCTATGGATTACTAGAATCAGCAGTATATAAACATCCGAGAAAGAAGTGCGAGAAATTATTACTGAGGTCGGTCTGAGAGTCTAGGGACATAGTCGCCTGTGGAAGTTGAGAAAAGGGGTTAAACTGACGGTAAAGAAATGGCAGTGACGGGCCAAGGAGTATATAAACGCCGTGCATGATATGGGAACTATTAGTCATCGAACAGCATGTAGTTACCTAAATTTTTAGTGTGTACAACGAGAGCCATGATTGCTGTTATGAAATAACTCAGTTTGTTAAAAACACAGTGAGAATCTTGGGGTAATTTTTCACATAGAATATGAGATCAATGTTGAAAATGACCGCTACTAAAGTAAAGAAATGGTTTAGATTTATGCTGTGACTTGTTGACTATCTGGTTATAAATAGGTCCCAATATCTCCATCATACTTCGAATCATTGCTTCCCAACCACCTTGACCACGGGCAGATTAGCCCCTCTTTTCACGAGTCTCCTGTATAAATTCTTCAAAACGGCGCTTATACTATTTCCAGGTTAGTCCATATAATCGGCACTTAGAAGTGTAGTATACTTACGTCTGATATGGGCTGCTCTGTTTTATCCATCTTTCCAGATAGCGCCGCATCTCCTTCCATCTATACAGATGGATCTTAAAGTGATAGATTGTTAGACTCCACTCAATAGTATTCTGCTCTTTCGACTTATTGGTATAAGATATGGGCCCGTAGGTGTATTGATACGGCGGCAGATCGATAGTGGTGCAACCATGCACAACCTGTAAACCAGTCACCAGGGGCTGGTCAACTGCGTTGACTGATACTAAATCGACTTTGGCATTACGGCAAAAGAGAGTACCAGCAAGCCGTAGTATTGAAACTCTGCTGTCTTCGTTCTTTATCAATGATGGCGCATACAGGATAGATTGCCCTAAGCTTGTCAATATTCGGTTCAGAGGGGTCTTCAAGGCACCATGGGGCCCGATTTCGATTAAAACATCAACCGTATTATGTTCTGAACCGACTAAGATCGATACAGCCTCGGAGAAACAAACGGGAGACTCAAGATTCGCTTTCCAATATCCCGTTGTAACATCAAATCCAGATAGACCCTTGTCTGGAGTGACAGAGGAGACCCATGGAATTCGAGCGTACCGTTTTTTATTGTCACTCAAACCAAGTTGCATCATATGTGTAAGCCCGTTGGCAAGTATATTGATATAGGTAGAGCCCAATGCAATCATATGATGTGAGTGGTATGCATTTCCTCCTGTGTTGAGCAATCGATTAAATATGCCATCTTTGGTGAGAATTGTCATAGACTCTGTGATTGTTTCTACCTCACCAGATAGCGTGATGTTCTCCGGTGAGTTAATAGCCGCGACTACAACTTTGTCTTCGAAGTGCTCCAGCTTGAGGTAGTTGCATATCTCATTGATGCCCAAGCCAACTGCTAGCATAGCACCTTTCTTCTTGTTCTTACCAACAGCTTGACCGCGAAAGTAAGCTATAGTTATAGCTTCAGCTGCAGTAATACATCCTGCCGCATATGCTGCAGCCATCTCCCCAGAAGAATGTTCCACTACACCAGAGGGCCGGATAGACCACGAAGCAAGAAGATCAACTAGACCAATTTGGATGGCTGTGCATACTGTTTGCGAGATCTCAGCAGTTTGGCAAAAGTCTTCTGAGTAATGACCCAAAAGTGTGTCCTCGAGTCTCTATGACGGACGTGTGGATAAAGGTGCTAGGGCACAGTCCAAGAATCTAATAGCAGCTTGGAACACACAATATTTGACAAGTTGTGAACCCATGGTATGCCACTGAAGATGCCTCTTTAGGGGATCCCTGTCAAACAGTTGTAGCAAAGTTAGAGGAAGAGTGGATACAGGCTGGTGCTTCACTAAGCAAGGTAATAGATGCTTTAAAAAGGTCATAGTGTTTGTTAGCCAACTAGTAAAAAGCAATTCATTAGACTACTTATCTAATTGTTCACCTCTTTTCTTTTTCAGTCTAGATATCTAACCCTAAGATTTAAACAATACCATACCTTACCTAGCATTCTTGACTTGATTGGTTGTCAGCGGAAGGAGACTCCACTATCTTGTCATACTCTCATAACTTCTTCATTTGTAGGTATTTTTTTTCTAATTTACCTACAAGATAAAGCTGCAAGCCTATACCTCTGGAGTTCAATTTTCTAGCTCATTGATTAAACAGATGTTGGTATATTGCGATCTGAATATCTTGGTATTAATTGTGACGGTTAGCGGGGCGCGCTTTTCGGCCCCCGACCAACCAGAGAACGGAACGGAAAAGAAATTCCCCGATCCCGTTTAGCGCGAGGTCGTGGAAGTACTGTGTATACCATATGGGGGATAGCGGTCTCCTCGCCGCTTTAACGGGAGGCGCCCCACTCCGCGAGGCCTATATAAACCGCAAGTGCGTCCCTGAACGACGACTGTCAATTCCACGTCCTTTTTTTTTTTTTTCTCAGCTCTTTCTCAGCCGTGTCTGCTTAGCAAGAAACTACGCGAATTGCTAATCCAAACATTTTTTACATCCCCCCTGCGCGGGTCCACCTTATTCCTGCGCCGCCCTCCCCATCTACATCGTGACTACTTTTGAGTAGTTGATAGAAATTACAGCTTTGGGCTTCTACTGCAGCAGTGAGACATCGTCCACAATTCAGATGACTGGAAGATGACTTGTACCAAAGATTGGTCTTCATTGTTTGCTCTCTCTACCGGCTATGATGAGACCGAATTCTTCTCAGTCCTGAGTTCACTAGCACGAGTGTGGCCGCTAGGAACTTCAGCATTGCAATCGATTGGGCGGGTCTCATAGTCCGGTAATTCGATAATATGGTATTTGGACGGGAAGCATCCTAATCCCAAACGCGCCGGAAATGAGCCCATCTGTGCATGGTCGCTATTCTACCAGTAGAAATGCTACGCAATTTCCGTTTAATAGTGTTATATCCACTATTCCAGCTGTCACATTTATTGGAAAGGAAGTATAACCAATAGCAAAAATGCTGCATCATCTGAGCTGGCACTTACAGCTGCAGAGCTGAAAGGGGCTGACACATTCATTAAAGCAGATTTGTGAGGATGCTGATCCAATGTTGGCGTTACAAGCATCAAACCCACTTCTAAGGCGCCTTGATTCATGCACAGCAGTAACTACATGGTAATCCAGACGACTCTAGTCACAGATTGGCCAGCAATGCCTCAATTGTGGGACGGAAGCGGAGTTGCGCATGAAAATGAGTAGCATTGGGCGTGCTACTAGATCATATCTCATTTTTGAGCTTGGATTTGGGTTATCTGATTGGAAATCGGCCAGTCCGTTGATTACGACGACTGCATTGTCAATATCGCTGTTCTTTGTTGCAGGTGGAGACGACGGTGACAGAGAATATGTTAGTAGCAGCGATCGCGACATTCGAGAACTAACAATCTTTTTTGGACATATTGTGTCCTGAGACATATATAAAGACCTCTCAGCGCCCAGTAGGATGGAGTGTATCCGTTGGACATCAGTTTTGTTTTCCCTGACCTCTCTATAACCATTGCACGATCATGGCTGTTACCTTAGAAAAAATCAAATTTTACCGTCCCCATTCCCTTCCTGCACGTCCTATACAGAGTATACCTTCTAATAAGGGTTCAAATCCTTTCCTCCACCCCTCAGAGAGTGTCAATCTAAAACCTTCCATTCACTTAAGCTCCTTCACATCCTTCTGACAACCAGCTTTGCACCATACACTTCCTCCCCGTCCACCAGCTATCGTCTCATCCATTCACAGTTTAGAGATTACAATTTTACCTACTACCACAAGCACATCTAATGCAGTTCATCCCAATCCCGAGTGTTCAAATGATTGTGACCAAGCGTTCTGTGACTCTTCAGTCGTGGAGGGTGGAAAAGATGAGAAAGAGTCTTTGGCTCGCTTGCCTGTGAAAGGTACACTCCTTATCATCCAACCTGTCCGTTTTTGGCTTACATATACAAGTAGGAGACAAAAATGACGATAACATTAGCGTACATATAACTTCATCGGATCGAGGAATCGCAGCTGAATGTGTATCGTCCGTCTCCACCGCGGAAGCGCCCTCGAAGGCAGTAGGAAATGCAGATCTCTCGCAGCCACTCAGTCGAGGTCAGACAGAGCTACAGGACCAAGCTAGTGATGCCACGCCTATACTAGATCAAGGCCTATCACCACTCTGCATGCCTGAAACAGCAACATCAGCACCAGTCCTTGAGGATTTCACTCTGAGAGATATGACGACGACGCTATCTTCTGCATTGGGATCGCCTACGGTTAGTCCGGGTCAAACTCAGCAAAATTTGTCTACCAGCACCCCTCAGCAGTTGGAGTCTTAGGGAAGCAGTTCGCCAATTGAAAGCATCGATTCACGGGATATTCTGGAACTCTTCATGCTTTCTACTTTATATCTATCGGAAAAATTTTCAAATTCATTGCAGAATGAAATAGCACGCGTTCCCAGGCCCCCGTCTCAACCAGTTGTAATCCCTGCTCTGCCTTATTTCTTAGACCTATTATAGGAATCACCTAACTGGTCAGCGTCTCATGATCAGTCTCACTGCGCAAGTCAGGTCGTCGAAAATCCTGATGTGTCTGTGTCTAAGAACGGGAATAAGAACGATGCAGAACATGTTAGCAACATTGATAGAGACGAATCAAGGAAATACTTGCATCCAGTGAAAAGGTTGAAGAGGAGTCATATACTGGACACGGTCTCATCGACTGCTCAAGAAACAGTTCCACGACTATCCCCCGAGTCTCCATGCACCAGACAGCCTGAGTCGCCACAACAAGAGGCGAATCAGGAAAGCGAGTCAATCCCCGTCCAGGGCCTTCTCAAATTACAATATATCGGATCCGAGGTCGTCTACTGCTTAGAGTTATCTCAATCCCATATTTTATCATTATTTGGGAGTGAACAAACGATCAGTATTCAGCCCTCTCAACAGAAACGCCATTCTACGGCTAGATCAAGAAAATTCTCACCAGAAGAAGATGCGTTTATTGTTGAACTGAAAAACAAGAATTTTAGCTGGGGTATAATTGAGGATTAATTTGCGCAATGATTCCCATACCGGAGCAAGTCGTCGCTGCAGGTGCACTACTGTACTAAATTAAAGGGGTCGACAAGACAAAGTAGAAGGAGACGGATCAAGAGCCGTGCATAACCACCATTTTATCTTGATAGAGGCACGGCATCGTAAATCAGACTAGAACTATCAAAGAAATACCTTTATTAGTCACTTCTTGTTTGTATGTGAGCCACATTCCACCGAGTCGTTGGCGAACAACTGTAGGCAAACTGAATGTATAAGCTAGCCTTCTAAGTGAAGCCAAGGCATTGCTCTGATGTCAGCTTACTTGAATAACATTTACTCATAAGTTGACAGGTGCAGCCACATCAAGAAGTAACTGTTCATCGTATCTCGGGTCACCAGGAAGATAAACGAGCGATGAGAGGGCCGCCAGATTAATTGAGATAGACGAGGGCAAGAAAAATGGGAATTCGAAAGCGCCATTGACTCCTGAACAGGAATCTTCGGGCTGTCGAACAGATGCCTGAATTATCTTAGCGGTAAGTATCGAATATTTACGAATGGAACAGAGCTGAGGTTCCATAGCAGATTAACAATCAACTGGACCATAGAGAACAATCTGAAAGTGTACGCAACCGTTGTCTACCAAATCTTGGGGACCCGAAGAACGGATTACCTCCTAGAAAAGTTGCTGTGATATCATTAGTCGGCTGCTTGAACCTGTGAAGATGCATCGGAAAATTAGTTTATATGGAGTTAAGAAAAGGAAATCTTTGAATAAACTTGTCAGATCAGAGCTCTTCTTCGCACATGTTTGGATAAAGTATGTTCTACTGAGAACTCAAAGGGCTACAAGCGTGAGAAGATTATATTTCATTACTTCCTTGAAAAAGCACACATAGCCGCCCACATCTGCAATATTGGTATAATACAACGATGCTCTCATTCAGAAGGAGACTAGAGAACATTGATATCCGCTCCCTTCTTAAGCAGTAGCTGAACAATCTCAAGATGTCCTCCTTCAGCAGCAGCCTGGAGAGCATTGCCATATGGTCCTCCCTGAGCATTGACATCTGCTCCCTTCTCAAGTAGTAACTGAACAATCTCAAGATGTCTTTCTTGAGCAGCAGCCTGGAGAGCATTGCCATAAAAACCACCCTGAGCATTGACATCTGCTCCCTTTTCAAGTAGTAGCTGAACAATCTCAAGATGTCCTCCTTGAGCAGCAGCCTGGAGAGCATTGTCATATAGTCCTCCCTGAGCATTGACATCCGCTCCCTTCTCAAGTAGTAACTGAACAATCTCAAGATGTCCTCCTTGAACAGCAGCCTGGAGAGCATTACCATATTTTCTACCCTGAGCATTGACATCCGCTCCCTTCTCAAGTAGTAACTGAACAATCTCAAGATGTCCTCCCCGAGCAGCAGCCTGGAGAGCATTACCATATTCTCCACCCTGAGCATTGACATCTGCTCCCTTCTCAAGTAGTAACTGAACAATCTCAAGATGTCCTCCTTGAGCAGCAGCCTGGAGAGCATTGTCATATCGTCCTCCCTGAGCATTGACATCCGCTCCCTTCTCAAGTAGTAACTGAACAATCTCAAGATGTCCTCCTTGAGCAGCAGCCTGGAGAGCATTGTCATATCGTCCTCCCTGAGCATTGACATCCGCTCCCTTCTCAAGTAGTAACTGAACAATCTCAAGATGTCCTCCTTCAGCAGCAGCCTGGAGAGCATTACCATATTCTCCACCCTGAGCACTGATATCTGCTCCCTTCTCTAGTAGTAACTGAACAATCTTAAGATGTCCTCCTTGAGCAGCAGCCTGGAGAGCATTGCCATAAAAACCACCTTGAGCATTGACATCTGCTCCCTTTTCAAGTAGTAGCTGAACAATCTCAAGATGTCCCTGCTCACAAGCCCATTGTAATGCAGTCGTTCTTGACCCGTCTACTTAATCAATTGCACCTGTCTTATTTACATCTATCCGACACAGTATGCCTTGATGGCCATTGAACGCAGCCAGATGTAGTGCCTTCATTTGGGGTACTGGACGATACAGCATTGCTGTAGTCCAAAATTTAGGGAACCACAAGCGGAATTGCTCTGTCCTAACATTATATAGCTTCCAGGCTCGGTTTACTACCTCATCTTCCAGGGATACTACGTCCCGAAAATGATCGGCCCAGTTTTCTGCAGAATAGTCCAGTAAGCTCCGTATAGACTCTTCGTCATTACTGACTAGATCATTCAGAAGAAGGTATTTAAGGCATATTTCAGTCATTTGTATCTCTGTTTTGCGCTGGTCAAGATGCCAATGCATGTTGACAGATCTATCGTGTCTGCTAATGAGGAACTCTCTTGCAGTCTGATGAATGAGATAGATTTTGGATTCCTTGATGAAAACAAACAGTCCACAGAGTTGGCGTATCTTTTTGTCTAATGAACTAGGGTTCAGTCCTGCCTCTGCTGCTATTTCAGCATTCGGAGATGTTGCTACCCCTAAAGCCATGGCCATCTCCTGAACACTTAACGGACGTCGCGCACCAACAATAATTTGCAGAATGGTTTCTACCGTGGCTTTCTGATCAGAAGGAGCTCGGTTGAGTATTCTCTCCTATGCTTCGGGGATATTCTTTGGAAGTGATGGAATTGTTTCATTGTCTGGCCGAAGACTAGTTTTCAACGTTCTTTTGATATCATCGATTGCTAAATACAACCAGAGGTATGTGCGATGCTTCATTTCACGCAGCTCTTTTATAAGCCGCTGTTGCGTGTCAGCATGCAGACCTAGGTCCTTCCCAAGCTCAGTTACTTTGACTTTGACTACTAGATTGATCTCTTCGTGAATTTGATTATTCTCTTCTTCACCGCGGAGATGGATCTGCGGAAAACATTCAGTAACTGGCCAAAAGCAATCTTGAATATCATCATATAGTCGACTTGTCATGAGAAACTTCAACTAATTTCCTTGACTGGCCTGGTGTCGGTCATGAAATTCACGAAGTCTCTCAATCAGCTGTTTCTAGTCTGCATCATGGCACTCATCAAGAGCATCAAACACGCAGACTGTATTTTCAAATATACGATCAGATATGGCCACCATAATGATGCGCCACATATCATCCACTTCATATTAAATCTTCTCTTTATTTCTTTCCCAGAATGGTAATACATGTCGCAGCAGTTGTGGTTGCAAGCTGAACAGCTGATAAAGCACAGCACATAAAGTAGTAGCAAGATTATTCTGCTCGTCATTATCCTTAAAGAAGAAATACACAATAGAGACATTCGGGTCAGAGGCCCTAAACACGCTATCAATCAGGGATTTGGCGAGTACAGATTTACCACATTCTAGGTTAGCCGAGATTCACAAGAGATCATTGCTTGTGGCGCTCCACCAACGCAGGTACTCAGGGCTGTTGAGTACCCACTCACACGTTCCTTCCACGCAGTTAGGATTAATATTTTTGAACTTTTCATAGGTCGACGTCTTGAATGCTTGATGACAGCGACGTTGATCTTCCGTCAAGACTCTCTCCATTTTCTCGCGGTGATGGCTTTCTCGTTGATCGAAAGCCTTTCTTTGGTCCTCCTTAATATCTTCAAGCAGGGCTATTGATCGTAGAATAAAGCGTCGTGTTAGACTGTTCGAGAAACTATCATATGATACCGGCAATTACTTACAGCACATATCTGCAACTAAGCTCTCTTGAGATATACCTTTTGGCACATAGCCTAGCAGCTCTTTCGTAAAGGCTGCAGCCGCTAGTGCAGCATAACCTTGCCATTGTTTATTCTTATGTGAGTCGGCATAATCGCAAATACCCTGTACCACCAGGCAAGGAAAGTCCGCCATTAAGCCCGCCGCCTCCATCTCAAAACACAACGCACCGGTATCCTTGTGGATGGCCTCCCTCGTCTTTCCGTCTTTAATCAAAGTATTCCCAGATGCAATTGTTCCATAATGTGTTTATGGGTTGCCGTCTTCACGGGTAATACGATCTTCCTCTCACTTCATCAAACACTGATCACAGGATGCTTCGTTCTCAGGATGCTCATACTCTATTTTGAATAGCCGGTCCGTGTCGACGTCAGGGCGGCTGAAGGTGTTCCGTGTCCATTTATTTTTCCCAATAGCTTCTTGAAGGTACACTAGATACTGAGGATCATCATATAGTTCTACCGCCCTCATCTAAGCCAGCGCGTTCAGCAACGACTTTGGCAGGCTATTCAAGGACCCAACAAGTTGAGTTTTGCCATCTCTGCCGATTTTGCGCATGTCATGTTAAATGACGCCGCCATAAGAGCCTTCAGGACAACTGACTATAATGTCACCAAGGCGAATGTCGTGCTCTACGGAAGGAGCTCCTCCGCTGATGCCTACCATCAAGCCGATGCGAAGCGAGTCACGAAAGGTTCTCATCATGTTATTAACAACTGTGGTGGCTGAAGTAGTCCCGTATTATCCATCTGGCAGACACGCGATCACGATATAGTGATGGCCAATCCGACCCAAGGTGTATATGTTGGTGTCCGTCCTTTCCTGCTCTTAGAGAATACCGAAATTCTCATCCAGCATCTAGATTGCGGCGGCAGCTTCGACAGGCAGGGCACATATCCAACCAATCTGGAACTCATTTCGGGATGGAGAAGCTTCCATGGTTCAGAGTCGTGACATCACAAGTATGTATCGGGTTGAGTGAAGAGGGAACACAGTTCAACAATACGAAAGCATTATTTCATGATAGATGCGTTGCGTGAGATTCATACAGATGAGTGTCGACAAGGCTGAGCGATAACAAGGCTGACTTTGAGGTTGCGGGCGGTAAGAGGGAGTTCATGATTGGAAGAAACCGACGATCTTAGCAGACTATCTACCCCTTCATTGGCTGAAATTTGAAGCGATATAATCTATCGCACCATACCTGACCATTCATAACATATGTGAGCGTAGGAAATCCGAGTGCGATAAAAGCGCTGTCATGCTCACTCTACGCGTCTTCATTCCACCAGTATACCGTCATCTCTTCATGTTATTTACCAACACGCGACCTCGAGTTGACACGACGGAAGGTGTCTCAACCGGAGGTGGTAATTCCTTTTTACTCAGATTTTCCGAATACTTTTACCGATATAGACCGACCCGCAATTCCCTAGGCAGAAGCGCACTCGTGTTTCAATTAAAGCCGTATATCATAACCCATAAGAGTGTTTATTACGGGCGGAGTAAGTATCGTGGTCCGCCTGTCAGAATGCCAAGAGGGACAAATAAATCCAGCAAAGTGTAGTCGATTTTGGCTACTGTCGGATTAGTCGGTTGATTCCAGGCCAATCCTGAAGATGGTTTTACTGGGATAGAAAAAGAAGTGACTAGCAAGATTGTATGTGTATTGAGTTCTCTGTCTGTCTTTCAAGTCTTTAAAGCCGGGTCCTTTATAGACACCTTTGGCGGGGTGATTTGTGAGCTATCAGGAGGGGTAAATATTGGGCTGAAATCTAGGTGCCCAGATATATGCCTAAAGGTGCCTTTTAGACCTGTAAGATTGAACAGTTGATCTTTCTGCCTCGTTTGAAAGCCGGATTATCTGACACACCCCCTCAGCTGCAGAAAGCAACTGCTTGCAAAGCTGGAATAGCTTCATAAGTTGTTGGGCACGTCATTGAGAGAAAGTAATTCTTCGATATCCGGGTTCTCCATATCCTTTTGCTGGGGAGTGAGATAGCTGTTGGTATCCTCTACTCTGATTTGATTGAGGAACTTTTGGTATTCCTGTTTACTGAGTACCTTGGTCAGGCCATTAGCAATCATATCTTTTGTGGGCATGTAGTGTACTTGGATGTCTCTCTTCTACATCTCTTGTCGTACCCAGTGATTATAAATATCAATGTGTCAGAGCTTCGTACGTAGTCGCAGAGTGTCCTTCTCCAGCAATCCTAGAGTTTACTGGTTATCGCAGAAAACATAAAGAGTAGGTGTTCTAAAACGTATCTCCAACTCCAGAAGCAATCAAAGGACATATTTGCTTTCTTTTACCCCCTGAGTGAGAGCTAACAGTTCAGCTTCAGTGATTAACATTATTACTGTATCCTGCTTGTTTGCTTACCATCCTATTGTTCCACCAAAAAGTGTCATGATGTATACTTGCGAGCTCTTATAGTTAAGTGTATTATCTGCAAAGGAGGCGTCTGTTAATACTGAATAATCTTCACCTCCTCCAAGCCTCAAGGTGTACGCACGATGACGTTTGAGGTAGCATAAAACCTTGTCAGCAGCTTGATGGTACTTTGGTCTAGGATTTAACAAGAACCGTGAAAGCCGTGAGATGGTAAAAGCCACATCAGGTTGAGTGCTTACTGCCACGTACATGATTGAGCCAACTTTCCATTAATATTGATGGTTACTTTTGTAGGTGGCCATTCCTTTGTATAGGAGTAATTCTTCTCGAGCCATTGGTGTGTCGTTAGTTTGTCGAGTGTCAGCTAACTTTGCAATTTTATCAATATAGGTGGCTTGACTGAGCCAGATCACCTTATTGCTTTGATCCTATATAACTCTCATACCTAGGAACCACTCTAGGTCTCCTCCTCCAGATATTTTGTATTTGGCACGAAGTTGGTTCATGACTGAGTCAGCTTCTAGTTGGTGGCTCTTCTTATATGTGACAACGATATTGTCTACATAAAAGAACAGTATGATCCCAGATTTTAATATGCAACACAGTTCGTGAGGCACAGCCTTGAACCCTAACTTTGTAAGAGTACTGGTAAGTTCCTTTTGCCATAATAGTGGTGATCTGCGCAGTCCATAGAGGGCCTTGTTCAGTTGATAAATCTTTCCAGGTTCACGATATCTAGGAGCCATTCGTATAAACATCTCTTCGTCCAGTATGGCATTAACGAAGGCATTAACAGCATTATATTGCTTGAGTTCCAGATTGAAGCGCGCAGCAATAGCCATAAATGTCCTAAAAGATCTCGCAGCAAGAGTAGCAGCATACGTGTCTCTCGTATCATCTCTTTTCTCTTGATCACCTCTTACTACGAGTCGTGCCTTGCACTTAACTAGACGACCTTTCTTATCCTGCTTATAGACATATACCCACATACAATCGAGAATCTGCTTTCCTTTTGCCTTACTGACAGGCACCGTGGTCCAAGAACCAGATGGATCATGACTTTTAAGGTGAGTTTTCTCAGCCTCTTTAAATAACCAACCTAGAGGATGAATTTCCACTTCACGGTGACTCTTGGGAGCAGGCGGCAGATCGCGGACTAGAACTGACTGAAGTCGACGTCCTGACCTTAGACGTCGTTGGAGGCTCACATGATCAAATTTGACTGTGTTCACCTCGTACTGACGATGTCGTGTGCCTGCTAGAAAAGCAAACCTCTAAGGATTGAGCTCTCCTCGTTGCGTAGTCAAAGCAGCGGCGACGGTTTTAACAGGAGCCTCTCTGAAGCCTACCCCGTTCTTCTCAAGCGACCCTCTGGATCCGTCCTCAAGGATATGGTTAGGGAATGCATTCCTTTAGCAATTGCGCAAGCTGGCGCATATATCTCGAATCGTTCACCTCGGATGACCGTATCGTCTTACTTAGAGCTGTTTCAACAAAGTGAGACCAACCAAGAGCATCTTCTAAATTATGACGAAGCTCATGATCTTCGACGAGATCAAAGCGGCCGATACCCGGTCATCATGACATGGCAGATCTCATTTGATCAGATCCACCACATATACCCGAAAGCCACAGATCTGCTGGCTTTGATGAGTATGTTTGACCGACAGGGAATTCCAGAAGAGCTGGTTAGCGAAGGGATAGATCAATTACAATTCGAGGATACAATGGCTCTATTAATAAGCTTTTCTCTCATCCAAGTCGAGATCGGCGGACGGTTGTTTGAATTGCACCGGCTAGTGCAATTGTCAGTTCAACAGTGGCTGAAGAAACAAGGCTGGCTTTATCAGTTGGTCAAACAAAGTTTACGAGTGATGGAAGCTGTATTTCCCAGTGGAGATTATCAAACGTCGGCATCTTTCCATATGCTCCTTCCACATTTTAAAGAGATGATTTATTTCACTAAGAAATTAGATGACAACGATCAATTGAACATGGCAAGTATTGCCAGTCGGTGTGGCTGGCATCTTTATCTTATGGGAAAGTATGAGGAGGCGGAGGCCATTCATCGACGAGCAGTTACAATTCACGAGAAAGTGTTAGGCGCTGAACATCCTGACACACTGGTCAGTGTCAGTCATCTAGGCTCAGTGCTTCAAAGTCAAGGACAATATGAGGAAGCAGAGGTTATGCATCGACGAGCATTCGCTAGCAGAGAGAAAGTCCTAGGCACTGAACATCCTGACACACTAGCCAGTATCAGTCATCTAAACTCGGTGCTTTACAGGCAGGGAAAATGTGAAGAAGCGAAAGCCATGCATTGACGAACACTAGAGAGAAACCATAGGCTGAGTGCTTGAAAGCCAAATATCAGGCTTGGGCACTACAGTAGGTCAAAGATGTGACGATACCAATCTCATGTATTCGAACTATCCAGCGCTGCATAGAGAGGTGCGTCACGCGTGTCTACTGAGAATATCAAGCATGAGAAAAGGAAGAAGAAGAAAGCAAACTCGCTACGCCAAATCCCCCATATAAATACTATCCCGTGTGCGTCGGTTCCTAATTCGGTAACCGTGATGGTTCCCGTCAATACCTTCGCGCCCAGCAGTATACTGTGAGGGCTCATTCAACAGTCATATTGGAAGCTAAGCACAAGAAAACCAAACATAGAGAAAGAAAGAAAGAGCTAGGAACCTGAGATTGTCTGCAAACAAGATGTATCGTGTATCGGAACTTGCAGTGCACTAGCACAAACTCAGTTAAGCTTAATACTCAAAGATATCTTTATAGTGGAAATATTGATATTGACCTTAATTCTGCGCACTCTTCTATCTACATCTTGAGGGGATTGTTGGACACTATTTATGCTTGAGAATCCCATCCACGCAATCTCAAATAGAAGATTCTCGACACAGAGCTGTAAAGTTGATTCGTAGATTCAATCTTGTGACTTCAATTCTTGAATTTTCCTTGTATCAATATTGTAGGCTTTCCTTGATTAGGTTTAGCTTACCTAATCCTCGACACACCCCCCCAGGAATGGAAGCTTGAAGCTTTTATTCCTGCACTAGATCTGCTATATCCACCAATCCCTGGTGTTTTCTCCAATCCAGGAACTGCTGTCCATGTAGGACCTTAGTAAGGCCGTCTGCCACCATTCGCTTTGTATCAACCCATTCAATACGCAGTCGCTTCTTGGAGACTTCTTGTCGGAGCCAATGATAGTAAATATTAACGTGCTTGAGGTTCATATGAAACTGTGATTCTTCGCTGGTCAGTAGTGAAACAGTTTGTTTATTGTCACATTGGATTGAGAGTTCTCTATTAGGCTTAAATCCAATAGACCTGAAGACTCGCTTCCAAACTTAAAGTCTTTTGGCTGCTTCAGTAGCTACATGGAGCTCAGCTTCAGTCATTAATATTGTAACTAAGCGCTGCTTCATGGCTCTCCAGTCAATTAGGCCTCCATACAATTGGACTAAATATCCTTTAGAGCTTGTACGGTCAGGGTTGTCACTAAATAAGGCATCTAAGGCGCATACGAAAGCGTCCATATTGGCATTCTCTAGTGGTGAATATTTAATTGCTAACGAGCGGGTGTTATAGAGATATTGGATGACACGTCGGATCTACTAAAAGTGAGCCTTTGAAGGATTCTTGGTGTGCTTAGCTAGCTCATTGACAGCTTTAGCCACATCAACCCTAGTTATTACAGCAACATAAAGAGCTGATCCCACAAGTTCTTGATATGCGTGAATCTCTTCATTAGTTGCTTGTTCGGTTGAAGCTTTAATATTGCCAGATATAGGTGTCTTGACATTGTTCGTGGCGTTGATTCTGAATTTGCTAGCCATCTTGGTGATCTGGCTGTCCTGGTAGAGCCAAATCTTTCTCTGAGCACAGTCACAAGTGATCCTAATATTGAGAAACCACTTAAATTTCTTCATTTTTCGAAGCTTATACTTTCTCATAAGGCCTTTCTCGATTTCCTTAAAAGTAGCTTGCTTTGTGGCCTTGTCATAAAATAGCAGAATGTCATTAACATAGAATAACAGAATAACACCATTCTTGATGAATAAACATTCTTTGTCTGGAATCTATATGAATCCTAGGTTTAGAAGGGTTGCTGTAAGTTCTTTCTGCCATAACCGTGGGCTTCTTCTTAAACCATATAGAGCTTGTCGTAACTTTATTACCTGCCCATCTTACTTGAATCTGTCCAGAAAGTATGTGTAAACTTCTTCATCAAGGATACTATTCATGAAGGCATTCATGGCATCATATTAAACAATCTCAAGATCGAAGATAGCTGCAATAGCCATCATCATTCTGAAGTTTCGTGCTGCAAGTGTAGCTGCTCGTTTTTCAAGGTCATTTAGTTGTTGCAGATCACCACGTACACAAATACGTGCTTTGAACGTTGTAAGCTTGCTATATTTATCAAATTTGTATTTGAACACCTATGTCAGCGGTAAAATCTGCTTATCTTGAGGTTTTGGAACAAACTCAAATGTATCTTTTCTCTTTAGAGCTTCAAATTCCTCCTTTGCAGCTTGGGTAAACTGATGCTTAAACTTGTGCTTTAAAACTCCTTTCTAATTTTTAGGCTCTGGTAGAAGCTGCACACTAAACGGTTCTTCAAGCTTTTCCATGGCGGCTAAGAAGATCTTGTCAGTTGTTGAATCTTGGAGCAACTTCTGCCTGGCTAGAAATGCGCGACTAAGCTTTCTCTGCCTTTTTCTTGATATAGGACTTGGTTCTGGGCTTCGATCTCTCTTTGAAGTTTTCGATGGTCCTGCAGAGATTGAGGTAGGGCTCAGAGCTCGGTTTGAGGCTTTTCGAATCCTTGATCCTGCCACTATATTTGATTCTGACAGGTCGGCGCTTATTTCTTGTGCTCGAGGAGCTTCCTGTCCTGTAGTCTGATTTGGTGGTGTAGTTAGTAGTGTAGTTGGCGGTGTAATCAATTGGTTTATTCTCATGTTGTCATTGTTGTCATCCAACTGATTTGAAGCGTTTTGACTGGCAGAATCTCTCTCAGGATTTAGTAATTGGCGAGGCTGATTGGTCGGATTATTAGTTTTTCCATCTAATTTAGGAATATCCTTATCCTTGGCTTTCTTCTCCATGACATCAACTTCGTCCTTATTCTTATCCTCATTCTTATCCTCCACCCCCCCAGCTGAGCCAATTTCCATCATGGAATTCTCACAATTATCAACTTGCGCTTGATTTATTCTATTTCCGTCAATTTCTATATTTCCTGGCTCAGTTGGAGTGTCAATTTCCATCTCCTGTGGAATCTGAGTCTGTTTAACTGACTCGGTCGATGTACTGTCAATTTCCATATTCTACAGCATATCCAAGGGCTGAGTTGGCTGCTCAATATTCGCATGCTCATGAGGTGACGTGCTACCTCCTGTCATCGTTTTTCCTAGGCTAACAGAGAATTGCTGTAGCCTCATATCGTCGTCAACTGAGTCGAATACAATATTGGGGTCTGCTTTGTTAATATTCGGTATATCGATATTGCCAACATATTTAGTTATACCCTCTTTGACAATTTCTTTTGCAAATGGATGATCAGGGTTATATTTCTTAGTCTCATCAAAGACTACGTCTCAAACTCGTATGACTTTTGATCTACTAGGACCTTAGACCTATATTCTCCATATATTGTGAGCTTCATAACCAACTAAGAATCCAATTTGGGCACGCAGAGCCATTTTGTCGCTTTTCTTGGTGTTGATTTTAACGTATACCTTAGATCTAAAGAGAAATAGATTACCAACATATGGTTTCTTCCTAAAGGCTTTTTCATATGGAGTTATATAGCCTAGTAATTCAATCGGGGTTCTATTCATGATCTAGACTGCTGCTTTCATGGCCTCTGGCTATAATCCTGGTGGTAGATTGGCTTCCTCCAACAGGCTTTGAGATTTCATAGTGATGATTCCACCGGCTCGCTCGCTAGGGCCATTCTGTTCTAGTGTATATGGCACAGTCACTATCAGCTTGATTTTTTGCTTATGACAATATTCTTTGAAGCTGATCCCATTAAGCGAGGACTCTCCATCCATATGAATCTCATCGACTTTTGTCTTGAAGGTATGCTCAATCTGTTCAATCAATGTTTCAAGATCGAAGTTTACTGACTTCATACGAGTTGTCACTAGGGCATGGAACTTAGTGTACAGATCGACTGCATGTAGGGCGTACAAGTCCTTGTTGATTGCCATATTCATGACAATAATATTAACAAATAGGACTTGGAAGGGTCTTGTTGGTGGTGTCATTGATACCCTACTAATCTTCTTTTGCGCCTTTGTGAGCTCGCAGACTTCGCACTTCTATTGGAATCCTTCATTGTTCCTGGCTGATATTTCCTTAGTAACAACTGCTTCTTCAGTGGCTTCCTGAATTTTTACAATTAAGCTGGCTTTGATGTGAGCAAAATGTTTATGCCACACTTGTGTAGGATCTTTCAAGATATTCTTTTCAAATGAACTGAAAACTAGTTTATTTGATAGAGAAGTTCTAGTATTCTTATTTGATTCCTATTCAATCAAGAATAATTTTCTATCATACTTAACATGATAGAGATCGCTATTCGTTTTCTCATCCCACAGTCATTCAGTTTTGCTATCAAACCTGATTCCATGCTCCCGGAGCTTGCTCGCTGAGAGGATTGTCGTGGGAAATCCTTTGATATATTATATTTCTAGGATTCGTATTCCTTTGCGCTTAACGATATCATATATAGGATCTATTAGATAAACAATATATTATCCTAGTCCATACATTTTAATCTCTATCTTTCCTGTCTGAATTATTCGTATATTCAATTGTATATTTATTAGTCGCTCTTGATTATTAGTGATGTGGGCTGTCGCTCCAGTGTCATATAAGGTCTTGTCCCATAGGTCAGCGTTCCTGCCTGAGGCAGATAATACAGTGCTAACCACACTCTGTAGGACCGGTGGCTTTGTATCATTGAGCAATCCCACAAACTCGTCTGAATTATATACCAAATTTGCTGATTCTTGGTTCTCACTATTCTTCTTTGTGTCTGTTGAAGAACCAGTTTTCTTCTTATCCTTATTTTTCTTCTGAAGTTCTTCTTTAACAGACCTTAGAGCCTTGCCTAGTCGATTGTATCAGCTCTTCTCTAGGTGGTTGAATTTTCTTTGTATATCTTTATCTGGTTTCCAATTGGTGGCACGTTTTTCCATGTTCACATATGGATAATCTTTAAAACGATGATCTTGCTCACATAAGCACTTTTGAAACTCAGGCTTCAATGTTATTTCGCTATGCTGATTTTTTTCAGGTTGATTGGATTTGTCGCCAAACGTCGCCATTGCAATATCTTTTTGAGAGGGTGAGGTTATTTTGAAGTACATCTTATTCTAAAGATCGAATGCGTTAATTACTTCGTCGAATTGAGGTTCTTTAAGTAGAATACTTGATTCAATGCCAAGGTTGAATTCCATGAGCTTATTGGTCCACGTCTTGTGAAATTTAGATAGAATATCTTCTGATGCCTTGATGAAATCTCTAGCTAACTGTTCATCTAGAATCTCACTGAAGTCAGCAAGGTCCATGTCCACTTTGAGCTCTTGCTATTTTTTCGAGAATTCCTTGGGTTTCATTCCTTGTTTTGGATTCATGAGTTCTTGGTATCATCTTATTAGCAAGGCTTTCTCTCTATTCAGTTTTGGTGCAAACTTCTCTTTGAGCTTTAAAACCATTTCTGTAACGTCGCTGATGTTCCGTATCAGAGGTTGATGTCCAATATCAACGGTATCAAGAACATACGATTGCACTTCCTTCATACGTTTTTAGTGCTTCTTATATCGATTAAGTTTTCATTCGTAAATACTCCAGGCAATTTAAAATTCAGTGAGCATTAAGTTCTTTTGCTCTACTGTTTGATTGGCTTTGTATATTGGATAGGTAGATTCGACAGGTTTTGTTGATGCAGGGTTATATATTATATGGTTCGGACTTGGGTCGACATATTCCCACACATTTTCCTTTGAGGCCTCTGATCTGAGTTGTTCGATCTACTTTCTCCAGTCATCTGATGACTTCAGGATTATCGCGTTCTTTTTTATGTCCATAGCTAATATCCAAGGTAGCTGTTTTAGGACTAATTTGAACTGAATCATAATTGAATATAACTGTTGGAGATGGGGTCGATGCTCTTTGTACACGCTTCCAAATTCATTCTAAATTGAGGATTGGCACTGTGAATAGCTTCAAATATCGACTTGCTTTGTTCACAGGGACCCCAGGCTCATAACTATTGGAACTTACAGTGCACTAGCACAAACTCAGTTAAGCTTAATACTCAAAGATATCTTTATAGTGGAAATATTGATATTGACCTTATTCTGCCCACTCTTCTATCTACATCTTGAGGGGATTGTTGGACACTATTTATGCTTGAGAATCCCATCCACGCAATCTCAAATAGAAGATTCTCGACACAGAGCTGTAAAGTTGATTCGTAGATTCAATCTTGTGACTTCAATTCTCGAATTTTCCTTGTATCAATGTTGTAGGCTTTCCTTGATTAGGTTTAGCTTACCTAATCCTCGACAACATTTGCGAATAACCTCATTGCTGACCGTCACATATACCTAATGATGTTGAACAAGCGCTAAATCAAGGCATGACTGCCTCACTCCTTACCCTAGATGTCAAAGGCGCATTTGACGCCGTGCTTCCCGGCAGACTGATCCGCAGACTACGTGAGCAGGGCTGGCCTACCAATCTTGTTCTCTGGATTGCCTCCTTTGCTACTGGGCGATCAGTTCAGATCCGACTTGATGGAGAGATTGGCGCCTCAACAAACATTACCTGCGGTCTTCCACAAGGATCCCCAGTATCTGGCATTCTTTTCATGCTCTACATAGCGCCTCTATTCCGTCTAGGAAACCCAAGGAACAAATTTGGTTACGCGGACGATGCAGCTAACCTGGCGATCTCGACATCTCTTGCTACTAACTGCGAAGCTTATCAGACTCACTTCAAGAAGCTCTTGACTGGGGCGCTACAGAGAGCATTACTTTCGCACCAGATAAATACAAGCTTCTTCACTTCTCCTGACGTAAAGCAGACCAGGACCTAACCTGCACACCTTCAGTGAAAGCTAGATCTATTACAGTCTCAGAAAATACTAAACGACTACATCTACGTTGGCTAGGAATCCTCTATAACAAAAAGCTCACATTTAAATGGCATGTTGGTGAAACAGCATCTAAAGCCCTTACTATAGCTAATGCCCTTCGCTCTCTAGGGAATACTATCTGAGGAGTTAAACCTCATTTACTTCAGCAGGCTGTATCAGCCTGTGTACTCTATAAAGCATACTATGACGCTAAAACCTGGTGGTCAGGATGTACTCGCCCTGGGCCTCCCCAGACTTCAAACCGAGTTGGAGAACATCTTGAGAAACTAACTAAAGTAATACTAACAGGCGTAAGAGCAGTCCTTTCAGTTTTCCGCACAACCCCAATATCTGTCCTTTACCGAGAGTCTGGATTCTCTCCGCCAGAAATTGAACTAGATCAAATAGCCCTCCTTGCAACTATCCGCCTACGGCGTCTGGATCCTTACCACCCACTTCGAAGACGCGCAGAACAGGTTGCCAGTAATGGCCGACAAACCAGCCGATTTGCCCGCCGTATACTGGCCCTCCCCAACTCTGAGCAGATAAACCCTCTCCAATACGCTCCCTGGCACCCTCGCGAGTCTCATGAGAATGCCCAAGCTCGAATAGGAGCTCCCATGGGACGCACTAAGGAACAGGCAGCCGCTGATTTCACGGCTTTTCAACGCACCATCCCTAGCTCTGATATTATAATCTTTTCAGATGGATCTAGGCTAGTAGACAGACGTGCAGGGGATGTCTATATTGGATTTCAAGCACACTATCAGTTCCTCCACTCCTCACTCTTATATGGACATGGGAAAGAGGTCTTCGACGCAGAAGCAGAAGCTGCCCTAGCTGGTGCTCAAGCAGTAATAGCATACCCAACAGCTCAATTTGCTACCAACTTATGGATCTGCCTTGACAACTTGGAAGTTGCCACGCGCCTCCTATCTCCCTCTACAGGATCCTCTCAAGAGGTCTTTGAATCCTTCCGCACCCTTGCAGCTGCCTGGCCACTACGCGAGAGGCTTCCACACACCAAAAATGGATCAATCTAAATCCGATGGGTCCCTGGACACACCAAAATCCCTGAGAATGAAGCGGCTGATCTCGCTGCCAAGGAAGGAGCTGCCTCTATCCCCCGCTCTTCATATAAGTCCTTATATGCCTTGCTAAAGAGATACACCAAGACTCAAGCCCTTTCCGCTACTCAGACACGGTGGCAGACTGTAGCGCCACAGACATACCAAGACCTAGAAATAACCACATCTCCTAAGCGTCCTGGAGAGCTTCTACTTAACCAACTCGATCTTGGCCGCATCATCGCGGCCCGTACCGGTCATAGAGACTTTGCAGACTATCACAAACATTTTAACCATGATGATGCTTATCTACTATGCCGATGCAGAGCACGAAAAGCACCTCTACACTTCTTCTTCTATTATATAGCTAAGAGACGAGCCCCTCGTCCTCCTGGGCCCCCTTCTAAGGTCATCTCCTTTCTTTTAGGCACTGTAAAAGGAGCATAAAAACTAGCCACATGGCTAGCAGAAACCCGTTTCTTTGAGGACATCTGTCCTCGCCAACCTCTCCTTAGCACCTAGCTAAGTCAGCCCTACTTCCCTCTCATATCTCTCTTTTCCTTCTCTCTTTCTTTCCTTCTTTCTTTCTTTCTTTCCTTCTTCCCTTCCTTCTTCTGAAACTCACTGCTTAATTACGATGGTGGTAGAAGTATGGGTCATGGTGCGTAGGCGGACCATTGCAGCTGGCAAATACCTAAAACCTACTCAAAGTGGACCTCCCTATAAGACCACGGGCGTTAAATATATACACACACACACACACTCACATATATACACACACTCGATTGGACACACACCAAGGACGAACCACGGCCGTTAAATACACACACACACACACACACCCCCTTGCTCTACACACATTGGTTTGGACAGACGCTCTATTCCTGCCTATATTTTCTCTCTTTCTCCCGCTTCCAGTCCCAGGCGACGCGGCCCAGACGCGCTAAAACGCGTTCCGCAACGCCATGGCACGGAATCGCTCTGAACCCGACAAGAGGTCTCTACAAAATGTTCTGCAAGAGACAACCACTGCTGCTACCACCAGAGCAGCCAAGGGTCAGAAAATCTTCAGCCCAATAGCTGCTTTTCTTGATAAACACCGCAACCAGACGGCTGGCCTCAGCCCTTATCTACAAGGAGCTCTTGCCACTCTAAGTGATAATCTAGCCACTGTGGCTCAACACCATTTTAATGCCTATATAAGTAGCATCACTTCTACTCTCTCTACCCATTCCCCTGCCCCAGCCCTTTCCCCTATCCCTAGTCCCCTTCCCCCTACGCCCCCTCCCTCTTGTCCCCCCTCCGGCCTCACGCAGTCCTCCTACGCAACAATCACTAAGTCCAACCCAGCCAGATCAGGTACTGCTATAAAATAAATAAAGCTACCTACAAAAAAGCCTACACCTGACGTGAAACAATCTCTCCCTGACTACCGCCTCTTCGTATGTCTTCTAATAGACCATGCCACAAAAATGATAGACTCTTACGCAATCTATACTAGCCTCCGGGCCCAACTAGGTATTAACAGCAACGCCTTGAAAGAAGTACAAACTACAAAGACCAGGTTCGCTCTCTGTCCTGCAACTATGGAGGCCCTTTCAACCCTTGAGGCTCAAAAGGAAGTCATATCGACGTACTTTGGTAACTGCCAAGTTGAATGCAGCGCACGATGGATCTCATATAGAGTTACAAACCTGCCAAGAAAGATTGGCCAAATTACTAATGGCCAATACTCCATGATCCCAGTCGACCCTGCGACACTATCTACTGAAATTGCCGAGCAAACAGGCTATAGACCCATATCTGTCAGTAAGACTACCGCTAGTGCTGCCAATGTCAACTCACCATCTTCAAGCTGGTTTATCAATTTCTCAGAAGACTCAAAAGCCTCTCTCTCAACCCGGCTCCATCTTTTCGGCACTATCACCAATGCTTGCTTCCTTACTAGGAAGGTAACAATCATCCAATATAACCACTGCTGGAAATGGCATAATGCACAGTCCTGCGCACAATCCCCAAGATGTCGACTCTGCGGCTCATTAGAACATATAGAAGAAGAACATAACAATAGCTGTTCTACTCTAAACCCTCACTGCTGTCCTCTAAGATGCTTTCACTGCCATGGACCCCATCTAGCAGACTTCACTGACTGCCCACTCCGCCCTAAAGCTGGCACCACTCGCACCAAAGCCCAACGAGCAGAAATCCGCAAAACATGCGCCATCAACCTAGCAAAGGCCCGTACAGAACAAGGCTGCTCCTCAGAGTTATCTGCTACCACACAAGAACAGCACATGGTCATAGATACTCCACCTACACAAATCCAGGTCGCCTCACCTTTCCGACCAACCACTCCCCCACCTCCGGCGCCCTCTCAGGAACCTCCTGTCACAGCTAGCGTGGTGCGCTTTGCAACCCCTAAACCACAAAACCGGTTCAACTCACTTCTCGAAGAACACCTATAATCTATTGGCGGTCCACTCCAAAAGAACCCCTCACAATACTCCAACTAAATGTTGGACGGGGTACTGATTCCCACACTATCGCCCTCTCACTCGCATATACCAACAATATTGACGTCCTACTTATACAGGAACCATATATATTTTCAAATCTAAGCCAAAAAATCACTAAGAGACATCCTTCATATGAATGTTTCTCTCCAACAGATAGCTGGACAGTAACTGGACGGCCCCGTGTCCTTACCTATGTCTGGAAAAATGCAGGCCTACAAGCATCCCAGCTTTGGCCTATCATTACAGATCCAGCAACCCTATCCGACCTACTCTTTCTGCAAATTTTCTCCTCAACTGGACAATCAGTCCTCACTATCAACGCCTATAACGCCCCAGCTGGCTCCACCAGAGCTAGTAAAGCTATGGAGACCCTTATATCCCTTCCAGAGACATTATTCCTACAACCTACTCTCCTCACTGGAGACTTCAATCTTCTACATATTAGATGGCAACCCTCCCTGACTTACCGTCCTGCTGTATCAGCGGACCCCTTTATTAAATGGTTAGATCATCTAGGCTTTATCCTCATATCAGAAATAGACTGTCTAACCCATACAAGAGGCAATGTTCTAGACCTCACCTATGCTACTAGCTCACTAGCGCTGAGCAGACTACACACTAGCACCGTCCCTCACCTAGACTCAACCTCTGATTATACACTACTGCTAACCACTATCCCGTGGGACCAAAGACACACACTACCTACCCAAAAAATAAGATTCGATACACTTGACCAACCCCTCTTTCTATCTCTCCTCTCCACTAACCTCTCACAGATCCAACCGCTGGACTCCTCAAAGGCCAACCTAGAGTCACTAGCCCAAGGGCTGACCTCGGCAATACACAGTGCGTACGAAGGCTCTGCCAAGAGGTCCCTCCCCCATAAAAAAGGATAACCATGGTGGAATCTAGAATGCAAAGAAGCCTTACAAGCCTACCAATCAGGATTGCTACCCAAAGAGAAGTTTCGCAGCACAATTAGGAAAACACAAAGAGAGTTCTGGCGCAATAAGCTAATAACTACCTCACAAACGAAAGAGGTCTTCGATATTAGCAAATGGCACAAATCGAGGGGGTCATATCGCAGCCCTCCTCTCAAGGATCCATTACGGCCGGATAATCCACCTGCAGTCTCTGTTCAGGAGAAGCGAGACCTACTAGTTCGCAACCTCCTGCAAAACACAACAGAGGCAGGAGATATCCCGCTAGACTGCCCAGCTGTCCCTACCACTACCCTTCCGTTCCCTGAGATCACCATGGCACAAGTGGAAAAGTCTATCTTAAAGGCCAGAAACACCGCTCCAGGAGAAGACGAACTCCAAACTAACATCCTAAAGACGGCTTGGCCACTGATCAAAGACAAGATCTTATTCCTATTCCAAGGCTGCCTACGATTAGGATATCATCCAAAATGTTTCAGACATGCAATTCTCACTATTCTGCAAAAGCCCAGTAAAGAAGACTGGACCAACCCTAGGTCCTACCGGCCCATCGCTCTCCTCTCTGTCCTAGGAAAGGGTCTTGAACGTCTAGTGGCACAGAACATGGCCTGGATAGCAATCCACTACAAGGTCCTGGCAAGCCAACAATTTAGAGCCCTTCCTCTAAGATTAGTAATCAACCTTACCACATGTCTAACACACGACATAGAACAAGCCCTGAACCAAGGGAAAACAGCATCTCTACTAACCTTCGATGTGGAAGGAGCATTCGATAATGTCCTCCCAGGGAGACTCACCTACTGGCTCCGGACACAAGGATGGCCAAACAATCTAATACTCTGGATCAGCTCTTTCATCACAGAAAGAACCATACAGATCCGATTTGATAATGAACTTGGTCCTCATACAGATATATCATGTGGCCTTCCCCAAGGCTCCCCTATCTCCCCTATTCTCTTTATACTTTACATTGCACCGCTCTTCCACATGGGTAACCCTAGAACTAGATTTGGATACGCAGATGATGGAGCAACCCTAGCAATCTCTCCGTCCCTCTTAACTAATTGCCAGACACTGAGCGAATCTCTACAGGACGCAATTGAATGGGGCACTGCGGAAGGAATCACTTTTGCACCAAATAAATATGAACTTATGCATTTCTCTCGGCATCGAGCAGATCAAGATCCTGCAACAACCCCCTCAGTCTTAATGGGCTCAGTCACAGTTACTGAAGCAACTGACCGTCCATATCTACGCTAGCTAGGGATCCTCTTTGACAAAAAGCTCTCCTTCCACTGGCATGTTCAAGAAATGACATCCAAAGTGCTCACTATAGCTAGCGCCCTCCGCTCGCTTGGAAATACAGTCCATGGAATGAGGCCACACCTCCTCCAACAGGCCATATCGGCCTGTGTCCTCCGTAAAGTCTACTTCGGCGCAGAGACGTGGTGGCCAGGCCGCACCCGATTTCGTTCCCGCCCTCAGGCAGACACTCCCCCAATCTCAAACCTAGTGAATAAACATCTAACGGACCTATCTACTGTCATTCTAACAGGGGCAAGGGCAATTCTACCTGTTTTCCGCACTACCCAGTTACCTGTCCTACACCGAGAGTCAGGGTTTTACCCTCCTAAGATTGAGCTTGATCAAATCGCCCTCACTGCATCCACACGCCTAAGCCGCCTAGACCCATATCACCCTCTTCGAAGACGAGCCAGAGCCATAGCCCGAACAGGCCACCCAACTAGCCGCTTCGCGCGCCGAGTGCTCGCACTCCCCAACATGGAAAAGATCAACCCACTGCTTCATCCACCCTGGAGTACAAAAGAACCCAGAGAAGCAGCCTTAAGATGGGTCGGTGCCCCGTCAGGACGCACAAGAGAAGAAGCGGCGGACAACTTCCAAATACTCCTGCAATCCATCCCCAATAACGATATTATAATCTACTCAGATGGATCCAAATTAGAAAATGGCCAAACAGGTGGTGGTTATGTTGGTTTCTAAGCTGGCTCCTAATTCCTGCGTGGCTCAATACCCCTTGGGCATAATAAAGAAGTCTTTGACGCAGAAGTAGAAGCGGCTCTTGCTAGGTTAAAAGCTGCGATGACACACTCTACTGCCTAATGCTCACCAAACCTGTGGATATGCCTTGACAACCTTGAGGTCGCTATCCAACTCCTCTCCACATCTATAGGCTCCTCTCAAGCCATCTTCGAGTCATTCAACACACTTGCCGCTACCTGGCCATCAAGAAGGAGACTCCTCCAAATTGAGAGTGGGGCAGTCTGAATCCGCTGGGTCCCAGGACATGCCAACATCCCTAGAAATGAAGCAGCAGACTACGCTGCCAAAGAGGGCGCGGGAAAAACCGTCCCTATCTCCCACCCATGGTCATATGCAGCATTTAAGCGACATACCAAATCACAAGCTGCCTCAAGAGCACAGACATATTGGCAGGCAGCGGCTCCGTAGGCCTATCAAGATCTTGAAATCACCACCTTTTTAAGACGCCCACCAGAACTCCAGCTTCCCCGCCATATCTTAGGACGAATCCTTGCAGCACGCACAAAACATGGAGACTTCGCAGACTACCATGAATGGTTCAATCACACAGATGCCCATCTCACGTGCCGATGCGGTGCAAGAAAGTCCCCAATCCACTTTATCTTCTGCCAGATCGCAAAGAGGAAGGCTCCTAGATTCCCTAGACATCCTTCGGAAGTCATTCCTTTCCTCCTGGGCACCCCAAAGGGCGCCACCAAACTAGCCAAATGGCTCACGGAGACCCGATTCTTCGAGGATATCTGCCCTCGAAGGCCCCCTCTTAGCACATAAGCTAAGAGACTTATAGCTACATATTTCTTTTGTTTTTCCTTGTCTTTCCTTTTCTCTCTGTCGGTTTATCTACGTCTAGGTCGCTAGCACTAGTCACGTAGAACAGCTATTCCGACAAGCTGACGAGCCTGATCAATATGGTATGGAATTCCTGATATTGATGACTGCCCCCCAAGAGTAAGGGGGACGGGGAGTGGCTAACTACATATATACGCGGCACGCACGTGCCGCGTTAGACTAACTGATATCCAGTGCCGAAACGAGCTAGGTTTGATATTCACGTTCCGACACTGGCAACTCTCTAAGAAATAGGGATAGGACGACGAGCGGTACAGGATTGACAAAGCAAAGAAATTGGTGTAGCTTTCGTTGGAGGGGTTGTAGACCTTTCCACCCATCCATCCACATTGATATTAAGCTTATTTGTGTCGATGAGTGCCTGTAAAGCGCGATATGGTTTGCTCTTTGTCATGGCGTCGGCTGGATTGCTTTCACCGTCAATCCACTTGATCTCTGCAATTTCTTGGCGCTCGTATGACTGTCGGAGGCACATGAGGTTAATCATTAGACGCTTTTCTTGGGTAGTGCCTAATTTGATGAGACATTCGTACAGGCTCTTCGAGTCAGTGCAGATAACAAGGGGTAGGGGCTTGGTAAGATGTAGAAGTTGCGTTGTTGTTGATTTAATTGACGCAGCCGAATCGAAGCCATGAACCATGGCATAAAGTTCAGAAGCAAGTACACTTCTTGTGACGCGCTTGCACTTAATTGAGGACCAGTGTACAATATTTGCGTTATTTACGGCATCTGCAAGAACAATAACAAAGCTAATTTGGGAGGAGAAATCCTTATTGTTTGCGAAGGATGAATCTGCAAAGATTACGAGGCGTAACGAATCCAAATCTAGACGTACAAAGCGTAATCCGCGTTCAGCATTATCAAGTTGCCATTGGAGGCGTTTATTAAGTGACTTGATGTCGTCTTTTCCTGGATTTGTGATCTGGGCAGCAAACGATAGATCAAAAGAAGCCTCAGGCTGCGATACGGAAGCAATGTAGGCTCCAAGTGCGCGTTGAGCCACATATTGTTTCTGCGGCGATACGTCCTTTTGGACCTTGCCTTGGGAACTCGTTGTATCTGCATATCGATCTTGTACAGGCCGTATGAGCTTACAAGTGCGTTCCTGGGTGAGGGTAATACCCTGGGCATCCTCCGTAATAAGGCCACCGTTGAATTTTAACGGGTTCGAAGGTGTAAGCTTCTCTCGTGGTTTGCAGAGAATATTAGCTCGTTTAATCTCATTCTCCTCGTGGTTCGCAAAAGTGTTGTCGGCGAGGATGAGGGTGTTATTGGTCTGCATGCCAACAATACCAAATCCTTGTGACTGGTCAATGCAGTGCAAGAGGCATGGATTGTAGGTGGATGTTGTCATATTAAGTTTGTCCGTGTGATGTACGTGATAGGTTCGAAACTAGTGATTACCTGCTTCAGGGATACCGTACAAAGGCTTGACAACTTTCAATATTGTGCCTGGAGGGAACAGGTGCACGAGTTTGGGAGGGGGTCGTATATAAAAGTTGCGAGCGAGGGGCGTGGTTGACTATACATAGGCTTGCGTGACATCGCGTAGAAAAAGATGAGTATCAGTAATGCAGATTGTAAGGCACAGAAGCAGGCATTGACTGCAGCGCTGTATTGTAGGCGATTGAGTCAATACGATCTCTTTCCCTTTGTCGTTGTAGGCTTGTACGACTAGTCGCGACTTTTCAAAGGCCTTGTCGGTGCCCCAATTCTTTATCTCGTTGACGAACCGCGAATTGAAGATTCGGGTGCCTTTTGGGATGTCGTCTACTTTGACCACTTCGAATACACCATTTTCTAATAGGCTGTTGATCTCTTTCTCTTGTGATTGGTCGAATTAAGTGAATACCGATTGTATGAGGTCATCTCGATATCGGGCTGGTAATTGCCGATTTTGTTGGGGGCGCTGTGCAGGCCTTGCCTGGGGTGTAGATGTGTCTGGCTCGTCGTCTTGAGATGTGGGTGGTGTTGAGTTTGTGCCTAAAGGTGCCTCAGGCTCTTCATTTGTATGCTCTGAATTGGTGTCTTGGTCATTCTCATCCGGTGCCTTATAATACAGCCTCACAACAGTTGTACGGAATTACTTTAGTCCATCTGGAAACTGAATTGTGCACGTCTCGCCCTCAACACTTAGTAATTTGTACGGGCCTTTCCACTCTCCTGCATAGCCGGTGTTTCCTTCCCTCCATACGCGTACATCCGAATTTATTGGCAGAAGATGTACAGCTGTAGACGCAGGACCGTTACGCATATTGAGGGCATCTCGAACCTGTCATTCGGCGTGTAGTTTTCGGACCTCTGTCATTGCCTTTTTGAGTGCAGCGGCACATTGTGTAATTGTAGGTGCAGGAGGGTCATATTCTACCATTCGTGGGTAAGCTCCGAAAACAAGAAGCGTAGGGACTAAACCATCTGGGCCAGCTGTATTGTTGACAGCCTTGACAGCCATCTGTAGAGCAGCGTCTTTAGGTAAATCTGGTAATTCCTTTTTGATGATTTCATATGAGTGGCAAATCATGGCATGGTGTCGTTCAACGGTTCCAATTGACCAATATGCTTTGATTGGTACTGTTTTGATGATTGTGCCTACAGCTGAAGCAGATTATGAGAATTCCCTGCTTGTAAAGGTCTTTCCAGCGTCTGTGATAACTAAGTCTGGGGGTCCTAGGTACGTGTCAATCCAGATCTTTCAGAGTGTGTCCCATACGACTTTTGTTGAGATATTTGGTAGCTACGCAGCGGCATTGAAGCATGTTGCTTTATCGACAATGTGAAGTACAGGGTCTCCATCAAGGTACATAATATCAATAATGATAGAGTGATTGAAGTCAACATCTTCATGTAGTGTGAACCAGAATCGTCCAGGTGACTTGTCATACATTTGACAATGGTGGCAGAATTTGCGAATGTGCTCAATTGCTTCCTTGTTGGTTTTGTGGCCCGCACGTGTAAGTACACGGCGAAGTCTATTAGTTGAAGGGTGGCCAAATCGGCGGTGTAGACAGCATAATTCGGTATCGGTGAGGAGGCAGGGGTTGTAGTCAAATGAGGTAAGTAAGTGGGTATAGTAGGAGTAGTCCCATACAAGGAATGGATGGCCAAACTGACGAATGACTGGTGTTGTTTTTCCCGTTTTCTTATTGATAAGGAGATTGCAGGTATTGTCAAAATAGAGTTTTAGTCTGTCGAGTTTGTACAGCGACATTAGGAACAGTGTCGTGGTTATCAGGATATGGAACCATATAGTACCAATAGGTGTAGGCACGTCAATTGACCCTATTGACTGATAGGGATCGCCAGGTCCAAATTGAACTGTTGCCGTGCCAGCCGTTGTAGTATTAATATTGATATTTCTGACGATTCTCTTGTAAGCAAGGTATTGCCCATATCCGGCTGTAGAGAGTTGCGCGGCACCAGTGTCAATAACAATACCCTTAAAGCTTTCTGACAAATAGCGGCCCTCATTTAGATAGACGTGACTTGACTTAGGGGTCAGAACCTTAAGAGTTGCTTCGTTGGTTTTGTATGAATCAGTTTCCAAGTCAGGCTTCAGGAATAGTGAGGCAATCCAGTGCAAAGCGGAACAGTTTGCTAGTTCCATGATTATTGACAGACTATGGTTCGTGTCATTATCGTTGTGCGTTGTAAAGAATGTGGCTGTGAACAGGGTTGACAAGGCATCATGTGTAGGTCCGGATTTATAATCGTCTGTCAGAATAAGGTCATCAGCAGCTGATAAGAGTTCCTCTGGCAGTTCCTCATCGTCATCCTCTGTGCCCTCGTAGTCGGCAATATATTGATCAATACGCTTATTAAAGTGGTCCAAATAACGGCGTTTTGAATCCGCTCTTTCCTTGGGCGTGTGACGTGTTGACCAGCAGTCGGGTTTTTGATATACAAAGCACTTTTTCTTGCCTCTCTGGTTGGGGTGTTGTCGTATTGAATAGCCTTAAGAAGGCGAGTGTGACTGTTGGTTATAATACCGTCGATCCATAAAGTATGTGTTGGTGCTAGAGTTTGCAGTGCGGTGCCCATTCGTGGCTTTTATCATGTCCTCGTACTGGCTGACACCTGATTGTAAATCGCGGGTTAGTCCAGGAACTGTATCTTGTTACTTTGAAGTTGCAAGTTAGCATGCCGGATGTGTACGAGTTGCCTGTAAAAGTCTTACAAGGTAAAATTCTTCGTTGCGTAGTTTTGGAGCTAGGCGGTCGTATAAACTTGCAAGTTCTGTTAGCATCATGTTGAGACACGCTTTTAATGTCTTCTCTGGGTTCTCATCGACTGTATTTTGAAGCGAAATTCCGCTCCACTTATCCAGTACAGTTCGATGATATTCCAGGCCTTCAAAATAGGCACGAATTCCTTCAACGGGGTCATGGTCACTTGCTTCCCATATTTCCTTGTTGTTATAGTAAAAATCCAAGGCTTGGCCTTTGAGCATTGTTGGGAAAGCGAGTTTATACACATTCTTTAGTAGGGATAGATGTTCACAGTAGTCGTTGAAGATTTGAAGCTTTGACCTATAGGAATCCTTATTTCCACTGTACTTTTGGTTGTCTGAATACATCTTCGTGAGTTGAACAAGTGCCTGAGAAACGGATTGTGTTGACGGTGCGAAGATAGCCAAATTTGGGGCTTATTGGACTTCATTTGATGGCTCTGGCTTAATTCGCATCCATTGACTTTGATCTTGTGGTGTATCGTGTCTTGTTGCCGGGGGTGAAAGATATTGGATTTATTGTTGACTTCAAGATCTTGTGAGGGGTCCCTCTCCAGTTTGGTTTTGTACCTCATTAGTGCCGTAGTTTGAGGGTTGATTATATGTATTGATCACTATTTCGAATTGATTATTGAGCACCTTCGACTCAATTGTATTGCCTTGTCTGAGGTGGCGAATGACTTCCTCCTTAGTCCATGGGCGATATTTTTCTGTAGAGAGTAGAGTATAGAGTTTTTCAGCTTCATCGTCCTATTCATCGTTGGTAACATATACACCGTTGGTTTGAAGTAAATCAACTAGTTTCCCGAGTTCGGTGACGGACACGGTATTGAAGTTATTCAAAGTCCACTTATTGAAGTCTTGTTTAAACGCTCTTAACAGACGTGAATCGTACGTGTTCGTATATTCTTTTATCTTCGCCTTGACGGTAGCGTCGAGTGTCTTCTTTTCTGTCATCGCCTGGTCGGTATCGTTGCCACTTTGTCCTGCCATTTTGATGATTTGTATCTGCGAGACCAGATCCAGAGATTTGGTGCGTTGTTCGGTGCGTGGGTCGACACACCGTAGGTTGTACGTAGGCTTCGTACGTCAGGTTCTTGCAGGTCGATTCTGACGGAAAGTCCGAATCCGTAGGCTCACTACGTTGATTCCTACCTAGTGCTAATACCGAGAGTTTTCTCGCGTAGGCCTCTAGCGTAGGTTTGTGACGTAGGCTTATACGGGGGATCTAAGCGTAGAATTCGTACAGGAATAATCTTTCGTGCGTAGGCTCGTACAGGGAGTTCGTAGGTTCGTAAGACTCAGCAAAGAGTTCATAAAAGAGTCGATATATGGGGTCGAATATATCGGTGAGTCGATATACGAGCGAACGTATACCGTAGGGTGTCGAAGGAGGTGTATTTTGTTAGGACGCTTGCACTAACATAGGAATAGGGGCTTGTAGATAAATGTCTGATCTGCGGCCACTGATCAGTGTCGGTTTATCTACGTCTAGGTCGCTAGCACTAGTCACGTAGAACAGCTATTCCGACAAGCTGACGAGCCTGATCAATATGGTATGGAATTCCTGATATTGATGACTGCCCCCCAAGAGTAAGGGGGACGGGGAGTGGCTAACTACATATATACGCGGCACGTGCGTGCCGCGTTAGACTAACTGATATCCAGTGCCGAAACGCGCTAGGTTTGATATTCACGTTCCGACACTCTCTTTAAAGCTGCATCGGTGTTGAACATGTTAGATTCGGTCACGGGGAGTAGGTGGACCACTGCAGTTGGCAGAAACATTCACTCTCTACATGCAGAGGTTATCTATCTGACCGCGGCAGCCATGTAAGCGCGCCAAAGAGTCACACCTTGTATATAATTCTTGACACCCAGGGCTTACCCCCTGGCGGCCTTTGTCCCACTAGGGAATGGGTAGGCAGTGATTCATCACGGCCTACGGCCGTAAAATAATGACACACACACACACACACACACACTCACATATACCTACCGCTCCGCACGAATCGAATCGAATCGAACTTTTTCCTAATTCGATTCGATTCGAATAAATCCTGAATATGACTATTCGTACGAATTCGATTCGAGGTTCGCGAACTTATTTGATTTAGTCCCAATTTGGAAGGCGGTAAGAGATACTCGGCAGTACTTTTGTTCAACACCATGTCCAGCAACGTACTTGATTTTACATATATAGCAATACCGCATACAATTTAACAATTAACTCCTATCAAATAAGAGATATAGGGAGAGATGAGCTAGAAATATTCTAGGATATAAAATTTTACATAGTTTGTCTTGAATCTAACAAGTTATCGGGCAATATAAACAGAAATCATTTTTTTCTCCACAACGTCAATCTCAGGAATATATCATTTCTACTCCTGAACTCCCTCAACATCATGAAAGCCTTATTTTAAGTCTATATTGCTTTAAATTAAATTAACTAACAGATCACGCTTATTTACACGTAATAAATTAATATAGAGTGAAAATATCAACAATGATTGATTGATTGATTGATTGATTGATTGATTGATTCATACACGCATCTAAGCCTAGTGGCCGGCGGCGCCTTCTAATTGGGCAGCGGGCGTACTACCGTATAAAAGCATAAATCAACGTCAACGTGCCAAGACGCTTCCGGCTTGACGCTGACTTAGTCAACTCCACGCGAAAGTCTCGACACGTATCCGTATCCAGATCCGAAGACCACCAACAACAGATAACGAGCGAACAGAACGCCGAACCAACAAAGGAAATGTGTATATATACAAAATGAGTGAAGGATCTCGGTGCGGGGTGACGTGATATTTATGTTTTGGTGCCCGGTTCTATTTCCAAACGTGTCAAGTGGCTGATCCGTCCAAGCCGAATCAACATGGTTACTCTTCATCAGGGTAGTGTCGCACTCACTGTGAGCGCGTGGTTGTTAAGGGGGTTACGTGATGGAACTGCGTCAATAGACCAGTCCGCATCATAAATTCAATACTCTGCCGAACCCACTGAGGTTCGCTAAGGAGCTTCCGATAATCTGTTTCGCGTGCTTCTTTCCAGAGAGTCTCCATACGCAGGTTTATATGGGTAGGACACCGTATGAGGACGTGGGCCGTATCCTGATCCCCAAGGCCACATTCGCATTGAGGTGAGTCTTCAATCCGTACACTCGCTAGGAAGCTGCGTAGCGCTGATTTACCTGTTTGTAGTTGGATTAACACTGAACTCCAAGCCCGTCGTAATCCCTCGTGCAGCTGCAACACCATCTTCGTTGGTGCTTTGATTATCCGATAGAGATGCCGTCCATGGTTGGCATGCTCCCACTGTTCCTTCCACCTCTTTGCAAAGCCTGCATGTAGCCTCTGGCGACACACTGCCATAAGGATAGTTGACTGATTTGGAATATACGACATTCGTGCGGCGTGTGGTGTAGTCTGATTGGGTGCGCTGATCCTGGCTATGCGGGCGTTCTCCTGTGTACGCCGTGTCGCCTCGACTGCAGCCAACTTTGCCAGCTGGTCTGCTTTCTCGTTGCCTGGGACCCCTTCGTGGCCTGGCACCCACTGTAGTCGTACACGCCATCGAGATCGGTTGTCGCGTAGGAGGCCCAGGTGTCGTACGATCCGTCGAAGGATATACTGCCCAGAGGACCGCCCTGGCTGGCATGTGGCGCGTATTGCGGCTTGATTATCTGTGTAGATTGTGGCTTCGTGTGGGTTGTCGTCGCATGGCTGGCTTCGGAGTAGGATTTCCAATGCCGCATCGATTCCCTCCAGTTCCCCTGCATAAACAGTATGTGTGTCAGATGAGCCTACTGGCTTATAAGCCTGTCCTATTGATGAGTAGACCGCTGCCCCAATCCCATTGTCAAAGCCGCTCCCATCGGTAAAGAACTGTATTGTTGTATCTGTTCCTGAGATTGCTTCAATAGCCTTGATAGCCTCCTCACGGGTATCGTCAATCCTTGCTTCTGGTGGCTCCCACCACGGTGGCACTACAAAGGGGTAGATTGTCTCGATGCGTTGGCTAGTATCACTCCCCAGTTTGCGGTCGATGGCTGTTTCCAATCGATGAAGTGGCGACGTGTATGGGTCGTTACAGTGGGCTTGGCCACGTATTTGGTAAAGCGTAGATCGAAGTGGTGAGGTCATGATCCGCAGGCAGGCCTCCTCAGCCAGCTTTGCGAGCGTGAGCTCTGCAGGTGGTACATGGAGACAGACCTCTAGGGCCTGTCGTGACGTACGTTTGAACGCGCCGGATATCTGGTGAAGAGCCTGATCCTGGATCGATCGGATGGCTTGCTCTGCAGCTCGCTGCGCACCGGTGAACCCTCTTCCACCTCGTATATACCACGTGGAGCACGCGTACATGATCTGTGGTTGGAGGACAGCCGTGTATATCTTCCTTAGATGAACCAGGGGCGTTCCCCATGTCGATCCTGCGATTGAGCTTAATCCCGCCACCAGTTTTGCAGCCTTCTTTCTCATCTCCTGTACGTGCACTTCCCCAGTGAGGTGGGTATCCAGATAAACTCCTAGATATTTGATTGAGTCCGTAGGCTTAATTTCTACTCCCTTGATTATGAGAGGTACATCCAGCCTACCACTCGGCTTAGGCACCATTTGGTGCTTCCGCCAAAAGTGGGTAAGTTGATATTTGGCAGGCGCAAATTTAGAGGCATGTGTCCTCTCCCAGCGCTCTGCAACCTGGTGTACTTTGGTGAGTGTGTGGCAGTTGGCTGCGGCGGAGGTCCCATATGTCATGATGAAGATGTCGTCAATATATCCAAGTACAATCACGTCCGGGCACTCGGCGAGTATCTGCTCAATAAGATCTGCATTAAAGAATAGGAATAGGATTGGTGACAATGGGGAGCCCTGCGGAATGCCTGTATTGACTAGAAATTCCCCCATATTGCCCTCTAGGAGTGTGATTGACGTGCGGCGATTGCTTAGAAAGCTCTCAATCCAGCCAATCAGGTCATCTGGCACCTGGCGCTTTCGTAGGTCGTGTATCAGCCTTATATGATTGACGTTGTCAAAAGCCCCTGCCGCGTCAAGTGCAAGCCCTGAGGCTACTCGTGAGCCCTCTCTCCACGCACTATGGGTCTCTTCTAGTAAGAGATGGATTGCTAGTTCGCATGAGCGGCCGCGACGTCCTCCAATATGTTGCTTTGGTAAAAGATTATATTGCTCCACTAGATAGCTGAGACGTCTGGCTAACACTGATTCTAGTGCTTTGCCAATCGTGCTCAGTAACGCTATTGGGCGGTACGCCTTTGGATCAGAGTAATCAGGCTTTCCAGGCTTGCGAAGGATGACTGTTGTCGACTTTCGGAAATGGTCAGGGCAGTATTGTTGACGTAGACATGCATTAAAGAGATTAACGAGATAGGCCTCGATAGTAGGGAGCAGCCTTTGTAGGACCAGATTGGGGATTCCATCTGGCCCTGGTGCTTTGTCGGGCTTCACGTTGGTTACTGCCGTTCGGACTTCGTCTAACGTGATTGGTGGCATCGTATACGGTTTGGGATATCTATATTGTGGCCCAATATCTGACAGATCTGCCTCCGGGGGCTCTGGGTGGAGGACCTCTCGGAATAGGGCTGCTTTCTCCTTTGGGGCTGTGTAACTCGTGTTATTGTAGTGTAACGTTGGGGTAAACGTGGCACGTGGTTTGCCCCTATTGCGGACCCAACGGGCAATTCTCCAGAATCCATCTATTGACTCTGTTGCCTGCTCAATTCGTTGGCGATGTAGATCTCGTGCGAGCTCATTGGTGCGCCGTTTCATCTCTTTCCTAGCCTCTGCGTAGTCCTCCCATGCCTGATCTGTATTTATACGACGTGCGTGTCGTCTACACCTAGATACGTGGTGTTTAAGCTTCGCCATCTCTGGGGTGTAGCCCGCTCGTGAGTAGATGCTGATCTGTTTTGTAGGTGTCGCTTGCTCAGCTGCCTGATTGATTGCCTCAACTAGATAGCGGATCGCCTCATTGATCGCCTCATTGTCATTGAGCTCCCTTGGGTGCCAATTGTATATGTCCATCAGTTTAAGGAAGAGGTCCCAATCTGTTGCATTCCACTGCTTGCGAACCAATGGAGGAACACGTATAGCTGTAAGGTCAAATTGAGTGGAGATTGGGACATGATCTGCTCCGTACCACCACTCTGGCTTGGTGTCGCAGCTCACTACCCGGTTGGCTAGATTGTGCGATGCCCACACCAGATCAATTGTAGATTTGGCGTTAACCCTCTCGTACGTGATCGTGCCTGGTGGCAAGAGCTGCTCGAGCCCATGCTCATCCATAAGATTAATCAATTCGGTGGCCTCCTCGTCAACGTGTCGGTACCGCGGGCCCGCCCACAGCGGGTGATGTCGGTTGAAGTCCCCCAATACAATATGCTGCGCCCTAGGTGCCATGGCGGTTTGCAGGGCGCTAATTACAGATTCCTCGTTGCTATTGACTCCTGGATTGTATACATTGTGAATATGGATGGTTCCATGGGCGGCTGTATGAAGTGTCAATGTGCTCAGATCTCTATTATGGTATTGGACCTCCCATGTGGCTGGATCTAGCCCTCTATTGACGTAGAAACAGACTCGTGGGCGTTTCTTGTATTCTTCCTTGGGTGTGGGCTGCAGTAGGATATGGAAGCTGCCCTTGAGCGCTAGTGAGTATGTTGTTAGTGGGTCGGTATGTTTGTTGATGTAGGGTTCCTGGATAGCCAGGATATCGTAATTTTGCACCTCGCTCTCACCAAAGAGATGCATCTGGACCTCGTCCCGCGATTTCCAGCAGTTAGCCTGCAGGATTTGTAGTCGATTGGTGTTACGATACATTACTGATTGTTAGCCCAGGTGCTGTCTTCAAGGTTCGTGGTCATTAGCGTATCAGCCTCCTGAGCTGGCTCGATTGGATCCTGAGGGGCTTCGTGGATTGATGGCTGGGTAAGTTCATCCTCAGATGAGTCATCGTCTGGGATCGTACGCACACTCTTACTTCGGCGGACAGTCCTAACAGCTTGCACATGTGAAATTTCTAGTGGAGCAATATCTGATTGCAGAACCGGGGTTCCTGGTGGAGGCTTCGTATTCTGACGTGCACGTGTGTTATATGTATATTTGATCTGGGTCTCAGGTCCTGTCTTAGGTTCAGGATTAGGATCTGCATCTATAACTAGATCTTTATCCCACTGCGCTCTTATAGGCTTTTTCGAGGATCTATTGGTAGGGTCACCTGATGTAGGGCTTATCGGCTCGGGCTCAGATCGTTCTGCCACTCGTTTTCGGGCGGCTGCTGCGCTCTTACTTCTTGAGTTGGCAGATCGACGTGTGGTGGCTGTACGAGCCGGTGCGCGAGGACTTCGCTCTGTATTGGCTGCTTCAGCTGGTGTAGGGTCATTTGGTGAGATGGCTCCGGGCTGACTATTGCCAGGTCGTATCACAGGAGTGTGATATTGTGGGCCGTATGTACGTCGTTGATGTGCCTCTGTGAGGCATGTAGCTCGTATCGGGCACTCCCTCGCGTACGCAAAGTGTTTCGTATTGAGTCTCTTGGCAGGATCTTTGATATGGACATTTTCTGCGGTGCAATTAGCACATTTAGCGTATTCTTTCTCTTTCGGTGTAGGGCAATCCCCTGTATCATGAGATCCAGCGCAGTACGCGCAGCAGATCTGGCGCTGACAGTGCCTGGCGATATGTTTATACATCTGACACTTGAAGCACTGCTGGAGATTGGCTGCTTTGTCGTATATTGAGACATTGTGCTGTCTTCCCTTAATAATAAGGCCGCGTTGGATTGCAAAATTAGCAATCCTTTCATCATCAAATATGACTACAAGGTGGGCATTTGTGAGCTTCTGTTCCTTGATCTTATACTCGCTTAGGAGCCAGCCCGTGTGTGTGACATTCATAGAGGCTGGAAGCTGTGCGAACACCGGGGCGTTCTCTGAGGTAAGCGTGGTTATGAATTGAGGCTGTTTGGGGTTGATATTCGTGTTGACGCCGTGTACGACGACGCCCCATGTACGTTTTCGTATACGTGCTTCGTTTCCGAATGCCCTAATCCAGTCCTTCTTGCGGGTAAGCTGGTCGACGTCGTCCACTGTGCCTAGTAAGAGTATAATATCGCCACTAGGTAGTATACGGGCTGCCGCAATTCGTCGATGTGCGATGGTGGTGTCTTGAGTGCTGCGTATTGCGAGATTTGCCTTCTCCACCACCTTATCCGGGAATCGACGTATCGGGTTGAGGATATTTGGATCGGTATGTTCCAGATAGACCTCTAGGTCCTCCTGGCTTGGATATGGGGTTGATGGCAAGCTTCCTCCACTACTCAATCCCACGCTAGGGACCGTGGGAGGGTTCGAGGGCACCTTACGTCCCCAGGCCTGTACGTACGACTCTGAGCTAGTTGTCACGTGACTGAAGCTTGGAGAATTTTTCGCGGTACGTGTCCCTGGGGATGTTGGGTGGCATATTGCCTCCACCAGGCGGTTCGTGTTGCTTTTGGTCGTAGTAATCTCTCGAGAGGCCTGAGATACCTCTTTCTGCGTCTTTTCCACGTGTAATTCGACCTTCGCGAGCCGCTGCGCTAGTTGCTCATTCGTAGGCGTATTCTTCACCCTTCGAGCCAGGTATAAGAACGCGTCAACCACGGAAGTAGAGAGCTCACGGGGCATGCCAATCTCCAGTGCTTCTTGGTGCTTCTTCAGTGCCTCGAGATCTTTGATGGCTGCAGCTACATATGCGCGTATATCAGGGTCATCTGCAAACCGTGGTTCTGGCCACGGAGTGCCCTTTTTACCTCTTTTCGGGCCCATGCTTCAACCGCGTCGATTGAGCAGGCGAAAGTTGGTAAATATACTGTCAAGGAGGTCTATTTTCACTGAGATTCTTTCCAGCAGTACTTTTTACCTGCGTGGGTGCGTTTTCATAGGTGCGCGAGGTTTTTTTTTTGAAAATATCAACAATTGCATACATAGTATTGTTGAGGACTGAAGTGCAGTAAAAGAATAGTATTAATCAGGCTTAGGGGATAAACCACGCGGACACGTCTCCACGAATACGCGCTTTTATCCATAATAAGTTCAAACTGTCAGCTTGAAAGGTCATAAAAACCAGCACTTTTGAAAGAGATATAACCAAAGTAAGTGATTAATCAAGGCACAAGATGGATATACTAATATTATATTCTAGATGACTTCTCCACTTGCTCCAATATTCGAACTTCCCCATACTAGAAAGAAAAAACGCGATTATGTGGCCCTTAACAAACATGGTCTCTTTGAAGGGGATATATCACTTCCAGTACCTAGAAAAAAGAAAGTAGTCCATACTATAAAATTGCCTAGCACTAGGATTTCAGGATCTCCAGCGGCTAACAGTAATATTTCTCGGAGCTTATCAAACCTTGATATAGAAATACACCCTTCGCAGTCAATATCTCAGGTGGAATGCGAGGCTAGGAGTATTAAAATCAAGCAGAGAGATGAGGCCAGGCTAAGAGATGTAACAACCAGCAGGCTTGGGGGTCTCACTATTCTAAGAAATGCACCCATGACGTCTCAAGTTGGGTTTCAACTACAGCAGGAGAAGGTTTATATGTTCGAGGATGGTTTCAGCTCCACCTCGACTGTTGGAGCTATTCGGAATAGGGAGATCTGGTATAACTTATATGTCTATAAAGATAGCAGATGCTCCAGGATAGCAGAAGATAGGTTTCAGTACATTGACATTCCATACCCTACCTTGTGTGCTTAGCCTTCAGTGATCCCTCTCGAACGTAACTATACATATCCCTCGTAACGTTGTTACAGAGAGCAGAGCTGGATCTGAAAATACTTCTTAACAACACCTGAACCTAGTACCTAGAAACTAGGGAATAATGAACGGCCTGAGCTCAAACATCTATATGTTGTATCACCATCTACATGTTAATTCTTTCAATTTACATCTAAACTATGATCTTTAACTATAGCATTAAAACAGCATCTTCAGCAGACTCATAAGCTCTCAAAAGATGGTCTTTCAGAGTGCCAAGGACCATTAAGTTCATGGATTTCGAAGGAAAAAAAGCTTCCATTTAAGGAAGCTCTCTTAAATTAGATTATATTAACCTCCCAGCCATTTATATGCGTCGAACAGCCTTCATTTAAGACTATGTTGAGATCTGCTGGTTCCCAGGACTCTATACTAAGTGCAGATACTATCTCACGTCAATTAAGTCTTTGGCTTGACGCTATTGATAGTGAATACAAGGCTTAATATCTTTAGCCTCCTCAATAGCGCTATCTCTTAATGGTTGGATAAGTCAGAATTCACTGCCAATGCTAGCAATTAATGCTCACTAGATATCCTCTGATTTTCAGCAATATCAAGCTTGCATTGAATTTGTTGAAATTGAAGGAAACAACTCAGAAGAAAATTTAGCTAATATTATAGCTATAGCTCTTTAGAGATTTTATATATCTGATAAAGTTATAACAACTATAGCTGATAATGCATCTAATAATGATACTTTACACCAATATCTTCACTAGAAGTTATCTCAGAGCTATAATGATTATCTAACGGAGACTATCATTCGAGAAGGAATGATAAAATTTACTCAAAATTCCCAAATCTGCTGCTTTGCTCACATTTTGAACTTGGTTATGAAGGCTATATTAAAGTCTCTATGTGCTAGTTCGTATAAAGAAGCCTGCAATCTTAATGATGTTGCTAAGCAGAGTTGGAAGAAGATTAAGGTGCCTTCTTCACCTATTGCAAAGCTTCGAATACTTGTCCTTTGGATTGCATGATCTCCCCAGAGAATACAGAAGTGGGATAATCGGCCTGGCTGCACTAAAGCTATCAACTACGACGTTGATACTAGATAGAACTCTACTTTTATTATGATTAAGAGAGCTGAAGAGTGCCGTTGGCAGCTCGAAGATATAGTCAATGATGAGCTAGAAATTGAAGCCTTACGTCTTACATCTGACGATTGGAGGCAGCTCTCTGATATTAAGAAAATTCTGGCTCCTTTTAACAAATATACTAAGTATATCTCTCGAGATAGCCCTTCAATTCATATGGCTGCGCGTCTATATGAAGAGCTCCATTCTATGCTGTTAGCTATTAGGGAAAGACGGGGCGACTAGAAGAATCTCTCAGCTGAAGCAACTATTCTTATTTCTAATGGAATCTTACTCCTGGAAAAGTATTACAACTATGTTAAATGCAATGATATATACTATATTGCAAGCATTCTGGACCCTTGAATCAAGACTAAGTGGCTCAAAATATTACTAGATGGAGAGAAGATTATCATTCAAATTAGGGCTTCTCTGAAGAAAGCATATCCTGCATAAAAAAAGCCTATATCGACTGCTCTTAGTGCAAATTATAAGAGCTTGGAATATCGTTTTCTAGAGGCATTCCAGCCTACCCAGTATAACATCTCTGAGTCAGATATCAACCAATATTTTGATGCTCCTACAATTAGTACTGGTTTTAATCCAAACTAGAGTCAGACTGAGTTTATAAGAAACTAGTGGAAGGCCAACAAGCTTGAATTTCCTTGTATGGCCAAGGTAGCATAAGATTACCTTGCTATACTAGCAGCAGAGGTAGATGTAGAGAGGTTGTTCAATGGCGGGAGAGATATATTAGGAATCCGACGCTTCTCTATGAATGGTAGGACTCTTGGGACTTTATTAAGGCTGAAAGACGCTGCACGCTGGAAGTCTGAATAGTTCATTATAGGCGTAATTGGCGTATTTGGAGTTATTTATGAATTTGAAGCTTTCTTTTTAGGATTAATGGTCCCTAAAAGCCTGTTTTTGTAAGAAAGCTAGGGATATAGTTCGCGAACCTGTTCGAAATTCGCGAATTTTGACGAATCGAATTGCCCGTAGATTCGAAGTTCGAAAATCAAGGTTCGAATTCGATTCGATTCGTCGATATTCGCGAATTTCGAACAGTTCGAAAATTCGTGCGGAGCGGTACATATACCGATCGCCTCATTACGCCGTCACAGCCTCCGCGTCCTATCCAACTGTCACATAGGGTATAAGAGTACATAATATACTGTATACACGGAACACTCTAAGCTAGTTAACACATTTACTTCTCTCTTATTGTCTCTTTGATATAACTCGATACTCGTCTTTGTGACACTCTCGTTAGCAGAATACCACTGAACCTTAGTTCAGCGAGGAGTTTACTCTGATCTGGCTACCCATCAAGCCAAGGTTTACGACAACTGATAAGGGAGGCCATTAATTCAAACCATTCTTACAAATCATCTTCTTTGACTCTTTTCACTTTCATCATTATACCGTCCACCGGCCTGGCTGTGATCTGTCGTGTCTGTGCACAGTTAGACGGCTAATTATACTTAATATCCGGGCGTCACCGTCTTTTGGAATCAAGAGGGACAGAAGGAAAGAAACTCACATTGTACACGTGTGATTTGACCTCATACTGACCATCGTGACGCAGTATTGGAAGGCCGCTCGTAGCATCCAAAGCCAGTTCGCCGAGCCCGACCTTGCTGAATTCATATTGCCGAGCCACGACGGCAATGATGATGCGCATCTCGATACTGGCAAACTCCTGGCCGATGCAGGCACGAGGTCCTCGTTCAAACGGCCTCCACGCAGTAGGTGGAATTGAAGTTTTGTTGTTGCTGTCGTCCAGCCACCGCTCCGGCATGAAATTGTCGGCTGTGGCCCCAAATATGACCCGGTCGCGATGGATGATGGAATTGCAATTGTAGATGATTACGTCGTCCATATTTAGATTTTCACCCGTGGGTGTACGGACCACGAGTCCAGTGCCAGGAGGCGATCTCCGGGCCGTGGAAGCGGGCGTGTGCAATCGGAGCGTCTCCTTGATGACGGCCGTAATATAGGACATGCGACTGAGAAGTTCCGGCCCCGCAGGCGAGGCGAGCTGCGTGCGAACGGCGTCAGCGTCGGTGCCGGGTCCAAACAGTACGTCAAGCTCAGCCCGGACCGCCGATTGAGAGCGTGGAGTACGCGATAGCTCGTAGAAGACCCATGCGAGAGTAGCGCTGGGCGTGTCGTGGCCGCCCAGGAGAAAGGTCCGCAGCTGATCGCAAGTCCGATCTAGGACTTCCTGCGAAAGCACTGGCGTATCTTGGAGGCTGAGAGAGATGATGCTTGACGGTAGCGACTGAGTCTTTTGTCCTGTTCGGTGCGCCTGCTGCTGTTCCTCGTGCTTGCGACGAACGATGGATTTTAGAATTGTGTCAACGCGTTTCCCTAGGCGTCGACGTCTGAGCTCACCAAAGGGGTTAAACCACCATGGTAAATGAATCTTGTCGTCCCAGTAGGCGTCTAGGAGGTCCGTGAATGCCCGCACTAGCTCCCCTCGCTGGCATGGATCCGTGTGCTGAGCGTCCATGTCTATATCCAAGATAACGGCACCTATAATGTCGTACGTCAAATTTACGGTGAGCGATACGAGAGATTTTTCGGCCCCCGACTCTGATAATCTGTCTAAATGTTTGACAAAAATCATTGTCTTGTTAAGTATTGTGGGTAAGAGGGTTAGAAGGTGCTGTAAGGAAAACCCGTGATTAAACGTCCTCCGTAACGCTTTCCACTTATCACCTTCGGCCGAAAGTATTGATGTTGGCCCTATAACGGGTTTCAGGTAACCAAGGTCAACTTTAGGGACGCTTGTTCGAAACAGGCTTGTGGGCCTCGATATCTGCTCTGCAACTTCATGGCAAGCAATGAAGACCACAGGACGACAGATCGGCCGAAAATCCATCAAAACAAGGGTTGGTCGTCCAAGGATATCGTGTATCTCGGAAAATATGTGGTCTTGAGTTACATGTTAGTCACAGACGAGGAACATGTTGTATTCATAAAGCGGCTCATTGTATTTACCATGATCGCGGTCTAGGGATCGGCGCTGAGTGATATCATTGTACACTTTCAGATGCCCCAGAAGCAGAGACGAAGGCAATTGAGGGAAGTTAACATATTGTACAAAGCGTTTATAGCAAGCCAAGCGGTAAATAAGTATGGAGGCCAATACTGCGGTTAGTAGACTGAATAGGAACAACATAGTTGATTATTTGGTAATACTTAGGCAAGGATGGTGATGAGAGGAAGCCTAACATTTGACGCAATATCTGATTGATCTCAAAGGCTGTGCTAAAAACTCTCACGAGGAAGAGAAACCTTGGAAAGAAGAAAGCATTCGAGATAAAGTAACGTTAATCCTCACCTACTGAATACACATGTGTACGCAGGTATAAGATCTAGCCTCAGTGTCCAACAATAGAAACTATTGATGCGTGGTATTCAGGACAACTAACCAACGATATTCCTTGTATCGCATCCAGGGAAAGCTTTCCTGAGAATCTATTCAGGATGCTGAAGTATGGACGGGCCCCAATTTGCATACTTGATGACGAAACGGCTAACAGGGCTAAGACGTGAGGCCGTAACTAGGGAAGATCAGGGATCAATAGGGGCTCAGCAAGAGAAAAAGTAATGTTCGATATCCCGCCTGATAAGCAGTGATACGAGTGCGCTGCAAATGCCTGGGTATTGGTTACAGTCCAGGAAATACTCCGCATGAGTCTAGAGGCGAATCTCTCTTCGACTCTTTCTAGATGTGTACAGAGTAGCGATAAAAGAGGGGCACAGATGTAGCTGTCCTATTCTTAGATATTAGAACCATCAGCTGAACAAACCAAATACATATGCAGAATTAGCGTGGTCTGTTCAGACTTCAGAGTTTGCATACATGACGTGACGAACTTGATCCCCACGATTCTCTCCTATGCGTAGTCCCTCCTGTCTCCGCTTTCTCCCTTGTCTGTCTCTCTTGTCAGGCTCCGGGTTGGCGACCCCTTCCATCATAGAGCTATGCCCAGAATTGGATTGTTCAGCCATTTGCGCCGCCATCAGCCGACTAGTATTACTTATATGTTCCTGTTTTTCGATTATCATAACCTGGAGACCCAGCAATATGATATCCACACCTGTTCTATGTTATTTCGAGCCGGTCTTTGTTAGTGATGTCTCTGTCGACTGCTTTAAGAATATGATTATGATGATGGATACTGCTATTAGTATTTACTTTATCGCTTCGTTTTGCTTACGGTTGTCGTCCACTTGGATCTCTGGAAAGGGTTGAGTCGATGCACGCTCTACTTGGGAGGAATACTGTACAACCGCCCCCTCTCCGCACCCCGGGATATCAGGTAAAACTAATCTATCATGCTAGACTCGTCACGCTTTCCATCGTTAGTGCATACGTGAAAGTTCGGATCCTATTGCTAGAACAGAACTCTTCGAATCCTGCACGACTCGATATATAACGTCCCTGAAATATTATCCTGTAACTTGCAAGTAAGGATACTCCTAGTAGACGATGAATTAACGATCGCGCTTTGTGTCGTGGGCTGACTTAATTCACACAGCTCTCGACTACTTTTCAGGCCATGGCTCGCTCATCTTCCTTCGTAGTGTCAAGAAACAAGCCTGAGCCAGTGTCTTGAATGGGATCTTGGCGGGTATCCCTTCCAAATGCTGTATCAGAAGGATCAATTGCATATATATAAGAGAATGGTAATATTCTGATTGAATATATCTTTTTTAAAGAGATTATTGAAGAATCCAGTTGCAAAAATGGAAGGCTCTACAAAAGAGTTCTAGGTTCTTCAGCGTTCAAAAATAGTTATGCTATATATGGCAGTCGGTTGAAAGGGTCATTCTGCGGGTCAAAAAATGAGCATGCCAGTGCGATAACAGGTAATGAACGTTGTAAAGAATATGATCATGAGGTCACGTAATGACTAGTGATTCCGAGGATAATTATAGTCTCAACCCCTGAGTCGTATGTAACAAGAAGAAAAGAAGAAAAGCAATACACAGAGATTCAACGCTTCGAATCATCTCCTTATGAATACTTACTAGTAACTGATCATTGATGACTATTACTGGACGATCTATACGATCCATTCACTGATTTCTTTACAAACGTGAATACAAGAAAGGCCGAGTTAGATACGGGAGAGATGAGAAATTCCTACAGATATCTCCGAATATAAATGATACAGCCATGATTGATGCTTGTCTTGCACAACATGTCGAATAAGAAAGTTCGCATTTTACGCATCTCACCTCCACCGAACCAATGTACGGCTGCATCTTCTAGGGCCATGCATGCTCCGCGTCACAAACACGCAACAACAACGCCGTTTGATGCAAAAATGCCTAATACTTCATCAAATTCTTATATCGGCTGCATTTGGGGCGGGGATGCGGTTAACTGCTAACGGGCTGACAACGGAGTCAAAGTCTTGAAGAGATACCTTGCCCCCCCAATTCACGGGTATAGCGGCACTGCATCCCGAATTTTCTGCATACTTTCACTTGACTCAAGATGAGACCTTCAAATGTTGGTATGCAACATGCCCGCCACATACATGCCAGGCTGAAGCGAGGAGGTGTAGCAAGTACGTATTAAGAACTTGGCCCCGGGGGTGCTATGCTTACTTATGCTTACTTATATCATAGATACGCGGAGGCGACAATTCTGTAACTATTCCCGGTGGTGTCTAAGCCTAAAACAAAGCTGGGAGAACTTTCTAACCATAACGCACAGCTTAGCTTGCAAGTTTTTCTTTTCTATTTTTTTTTTTTCCTTGAAAAGGTATTATGTGTCAAGTTATCTTGCGACGGTTGTCCCTTGGTCACTGTGTCTATTATGACAATAACAATATACCTACATATACAATTATTCAGGAGAGTTTAGAATGTCACCCACATCCTTGCAGGTATTGACTGTAATGAGTAAGACTACTTGAAGCTTAGGTACAAGCTTTACCCGCCAGTGGTAGGCCCAGCAACTCATTGAGGCCTCCGGCCAACCACAGTCACGACCTTTCCTTGATGCACCGCAACACCTTGCTCTGTCTCTTTAACACTGTTTGCAAACATTTCAGTCCACACCTCTCGCGTCAATGGTGCATTCGATGCCTGTGACTTTGGCGGAAAAAAAGCAGCACATTCCTCCCACACCATCAAGTAGTCTTCAGTCCATCCCTTGTAATCCTGCTTTCTTTTCTTCTGAGAAAGCAATCGTGCGTCCTGGAAACCAAACTGGCCCAGACATGTGTCGAGTACGTCTACCCACTCATTGTTGATGCCTTGGGCCTTTTGACCACCTTCGAGCACCTGCACAATGCTTTCACAGGCCAATTTAGATACTTGCGGTGAAGGTGACTCGACAACCCATTTATCGCCTCGGGTCTCTTCCCATTGAAGAAAACCACCCGGCTTCAAAAGATCCGAGGCAACAGAGAGTATAGGTGTCAGGTCGCCATCAGGTATCACACTAACAAAGGCTCGGATATGGACCATATCGTAGATGCCAATCAAATCGGCAGGGAGGGGCTTGGCAAGGATGTCAAGCTGCTTGATGGATACCGAGTCGGGCAGGTAGGCTGCATCCGGGAAGTTCACGGGGTTGATGTCAAATCCGTCCAGCTGGGCTGAGATGTTGTTCTTCGCAAAGTGGGAGTGCAGCTCAGTCAGCCAGATGCCATTTCCACAAGCGAGATCGGCGACATTCAACGGCCGGGAAGAAGCTGCCAAGGACTCCTCAATGGTAGGCTCTAGGAGATAGCCGATAGTGTTTTGGAAGAGAAAGTGTTGCAAGTGCAAGCGAGCAGAAGTTCGAAAGTTCCTGGCTGGAGCGATCCAGAACTTGGAGGCATCATAGTTCTCAACGTGGGAAGAGCTGGTTGCCATCTTGACTGAGAGCAGATGATATGTCTCTCTCTTTCTTGTGAAAGGCAGAGCGCAATACAACTGTAGTAGGAGCAGCAGAACTGCAGTTTGTGATGGAAAGATGAAACTTCAAACCTCAAGCCCACAAAAGATTTGGTTGGTAACTCTTGAAAAGGGTTATTGATGTCAATCCTTGTCTGAAGTGACAAAGAAATGAGAGAAAGGCGCTATGAGTCCCTAGATACCCATGCCAGCCAATCAGAGCGCAGACTAAGTGACCACCCCAACCTGATGTACATGGATTTGTTTATTTTGGTGCACCTTGTTGTGCAGCCTGTGGGTAGCAGCCCAACATGCTCGACACCCTTCGCCTTGACCCCGGTCCCTGCGAGTTCACGTTCAGGGGCCCCGGGTGCATGAAAGGAATATTCAAGCATCCTATACTTGTCGCGTCGCCTCCCCCCACCCTAGACCGGGTGGTGGTCGGCCCGGACTCAAGGGCCAAAAATTTCAAAATCTCAACTTGGCATTTACAAACATCAAAACCAGAGCCAAAATGACCCCTAAATTATATAAAGAAGAGGAGGAATTGATTGCAAAGGCCCTCAGTGCGTGTCAACACGAAAAAAAGCCAAATTTTAGCAAATTATCGCGTGAATATGGGGTGTCTCGCAAAAAAACTGTCCCGTCGGTGGCATGGCTTACCCTCTCGCTCAACACGCCCACCTACGAGGCGCCTACTATCTCTAGATCAAGAAAAGGCACTTATTCTATGGATTGAGTATCTAGATAATATAGGTGCGCCTCCTACGAATCAGCAAATTGAAGAAAGTGCGAATTATTTGCTCGGCAAAGATTTCAGTGGTCCAGGAGAGGCCCCTCGTGCCGGAAAAAATTGGGTACACGATTTTATCAAGCGCCTGCCAAAACAATATGTACGAATCGTTCAAAAGCTCAAGAAAAGGAACGTACCGTTGCAGAGCATTATGGTGAGGTTGAGCGCTGGTTTATTGACCTCGAGCTCGCTATACAACAATACAAAATTCGCCCTCAAAATCTGTGGAACTTCGACGAGACCGGATTCATTGTTGGACAAGGAAAAGATGAAGCGGTGGTAACAGCATATCCAAAAACATCAAAAAGGGTATCTAGCCTGTCCTCTCGAGAATCAATTACTGTCATTGAGGGTATAAATGCCGAAGGAAAGATTATACCACCTTTATTGATTCCAAAAGGCAAGGTCCATTTGGAGGAATGGTACCGGCATATAAAAGATGACAACTGGCTAGTTGCACCTGCTTCGAATGGATTTATCACAGATGAGATCGCATTCGAATGGCTTCAACACTTTGACCACTTCTCTAGGCCCGGGGCCTTCCCGGATTGGCGGTTACTTCTTATGGATAATCATATAACTCATCTTACTATACAGTTCGTGCAATATTGTGAAATTTGGCACATTCGCCCATTCCGATTTCCGCCTCATTCTACGCATTTTTTACAACCGCTCGATGGAGTGCCATTTCAGCAATATAAACATGTTCATGGACGGGTTGTGAACAAGATTGCACGCTTGGGTGGCTTCGATTTTGATAAAAACGACTTTTTTGAAGAATTACGCGATATCCGGATAAAGACATTTACCACACGAACGATTCGGCACAGCTGGAGAGAGCGAGGAATTTGGCCTCTTAATCCTTGGCTTATACTTGATATGATGCTTCAGCCAGAGGAAGCATTTGAAGCACTTGTTGCTGAAGAGGATGCACTAAAAATATATGGCGAGGCGGATGACACTATTCCCAGCTCACCAACTACAAAATCAATATCTCCACCATCAACGGCCGTAAAACTACGTCGCTATGTCAATAAGATTGAAAAATCGATTGACGGTATAAAGGATATTCTTGACGAAGTAAGCCCGGGCCTTTCACGCCGTATAAAAGTGGTTAATCAAGGCAGTCTCACCTTGGCCGAATTAGGCGATCTACACCGTGAGAGCTTTGCCAAGGTTCGTGATATAGCAACGCGCAAGAATCAAAAAACTACAAAGCGCCAAGTCAAAGCGAGTGGTGCACTCTATGTAAAAGATGCGAATCGCCTCATAAAACGCCGTCATGATGGGGATTTGTTGAAAATCTATAAGAGCCATGTCGTTGGCGTGCCGCAGCCGATGGAAGAAGTGGCTTCAACAGAGCCTCAAAACAGCGGGTTTTTCTTTGATACTCAGGGAGATAGGTGAACAATGCTTGTATTTAACACCTGTCTAGTTTTTATATGCAATTTATATGGCGTTGGTGGACTATAAAACATTTTACATGAGACTTCATATTTTTTGGCCCTTGAGTCCGGGCCGACCACCACCCGGTCTAGGGTGGGGGGAGGCGACGCGACAAGTACTGGGTTAATTGTCGAACGGATCCCGTCGGGATCTTTAAATTTCGTCCGTGCGCACCCGATAACCCTAGACCGGGGTGACTGGGGTTAGGGTCAGAGTACGTTACCGCGTAGACCGCGTCCATTCCAAACCCCTGAATCAAGTCCGCGCACACGTCGCGGTGGTGGTAGTGTATGTGCAATAAATAGATTATAGTAGTAGTAGTAGTAGTAGAATTGATATACCCGCTGTAGCTGGCCGCTGACTAAGAGCCGCTATCCAGGTGTGTGCCTAAGCCTGCAGGCACCAATAGATCCGCGGCCCAGCCACGGGTGGTGCGCCATAGGGGCGCGCCACAGAGAACGGAAGCTAAGGAAACAAGAATAACGAATGCAAACATGTCAAACAAACAAATACAGTGCTTCACCGCCTCGTGCACGACACCACCTCATGCACGGTACCGCGTCAAAACGCGATAAATCAGTCAAAATGGGTGCAATCGAGGATGCAGTTAATTATTTGAATTCCTTGGGAGAAGACGAACCGATTAATTTCACTTTACTTACAAAAATGTATGGTGTTGATCGGACTACGCTCTCGAGAAGATACCGAGGCGTTACGGGCTCGAAAGAAGCGCATTACGATAATCAACGATTACTCAACGACCACCAATCCAAAAAGCTTATACAATGGATAGAAATGCTCTGCGAAAAAGGCCTGCCACCTACGCCCTATATGATTGCAAATTTTGCGCATGAGATAACTGGTAGAAAGCCTGGAAAGAACTGGGCTTCTCGCTGGTTAAACAAGCATCCAAATGCGTTGGTTTCTCGCTATTCTACAGGCATTGACCGCAACCGAAAAAGAGCAGATTGCGCCTGGAGTTATGCTCTCTATTTTGAGCTTATAAGTCGCAAGATTGAGCAGTATAATCTTCAGCCAAATCAAATTTACAATATGGATGAAAAGGGCTTTGCGATTGGGATTATGACAAGTCAAAAAAGAGTCTTTTCTCGGCGATTATATGAAAAGAAGTTCAAGCAATTTCTTCAAGATGGGAATAGGGAGTGGATTACTACAATTGCTTGTATTTGCGCAGATGGAACTGTTATCTCTCCAGCTTTGATCTATATGGCCAAATCCGGTAATCTACAGGATTCCTGGTTTCAAGATCTTACTACGCAAAAATGCTACTTTGCAGCTTCTGAAACAGGATGGACAAATAGTGAGACTGGTTATCATTGGTTGGAGGAAGTTTTTGAGAAAGAAACAAGATCTCAAGCAAGCCGGGGATGGCGCCTACTGATTCTTGATGGTCACAATTCTCACGTCAATATCAGATTTATTGAATATTGTGAAAAAACAGAATCTTATTGGCAATATTTCCTGCGCATGCAACGCATACTTTACAGCCTCTTGACGTCGGCTTATTTGCACCTCTTGCCACCAATTACACCAAGGCTTTATATAAGTTTCTTGAAGAAACTCAAGGGATAAGCCGTCTTACTAAACGCGACTTTTTTCGACTTTTTTGGGCGAGTTGGGAGATCTCTTTTACTAAGAAAAATATCAACTCTGGCTTCAAAAGCACAGGTTTGGTTCCTTTCAATCCGGAGGTGGTTTTACAGCGTTTTAATCAGAAATCTGAAAGCCGGCCATCCTCAGCTGGTTCTACAGCTTCAATTCTTTCGCCTGAAGAGTGGAGGGATATTCGCAAACTTCTTAGAAAGATTGGAGGCAAAAATCCTAGCAGAGACTTCAAAATGCTAAGCAATACAGTTATGGAGCTTACTACAGAGGTTATACTACTTAGATTGCAACTTGCAAGCGCAGAAAAGGCTCTGTTGAATGAAAAGAGGCGCCGAATTAGGAAAAAGCCATTATTATTAGGTTTACCTAATGAAAATGAAGGTGGTGCGATATTTTTTAGCCCTTCAAAGATTCAGCAGGCCCGAGAACTACAACAACAAAAAGAGGATCAAGCCAAGCAGGAAAGAGCTAAGAAAGAAGATAAAAAGCTTCAACAACAGCTTGCAAAAAAAGCTAAAGAGAAAGAAAAGCAAGAAAGGGCTCAAATCCGTCAACAAAAGCGAGAAGAACGCGTGCAAGAGGCTGCCGAAAAACAACGCCAAAAACTCGAGGAAAAACTAGCCAAGCAAGCTGATTTGCAGCTTTAAAAAGGTATCCTAGCTACGCCAAATTTCCCTATGAGTCAAACGAGCCCAAATTCAAGGAAATTAAAGCGCAAACAGAGTAGTGACGTCGACGAGGAGGTTATTGATGAGGTTATTGCTACGAATCGTAGGGGGCGGCAGATTCGGCTTCCTGCACGCTATCGCTAGATAAAATTTACACTGTTAGATTAGCTATATCTTATTTACTAATAAACTGCAAAATTAATTATATTTTATTGTTATGTGGTGTTGTAAAGCTTCGAAATATTTTACATGGCATGTCGCGAAAACCGTGCATGAGGTGGTGTCGTGCACGAGGCGGTGAAGCACTGTATCTCAACCCATTATCGTGATTGAGGGGCGATATGTATGCAGTAGGAGGAGAACGAATATTAGTCGTACTCAATGGACGAGCCTCTACATCAAGTTCCATGACTTCTATTTCGAAAATATAAAAGCATGGACAATTTATCGAAATAGACGGCAATTTAACGTGTAAATAAGCAAGCATTTCGGCTCTTCAGATAAACATGGCCCCGTCAGCCCAGTGCTCAGCTGTCACACACAACTACAATTTGTTGCCTTCGGTCATACAGCGCCTTGCAAGTACGGCTTTACATTATTTGCAACTCTTCGACTCTTTGTCAACGCCACGGTTGCAATCTAATCTATATAAGGTTTAGCCTGTAAGTTTGGTATTTTATGATGAGTATTGAACCTATGTATACAAAACAAGGTATTGCCGCTCGTATTTCGAGTATGCATGCAGACCTTTAGAATTTTCAACGCAAACGAAGCAAATCGAAACAGAAAGGGTATCGCGACAAATCGAATGGATATTTGAAAATAAATGTATGTTAAATATCCTGGTGTACTTTGGTTATGCATTTCTGTTGCCTTCAGCTAATTATCATGCAGATGCCCAATGCTATGCGACCGTGCGAAGACGTTGTCAGCCTTGCAGTAGGTTGCACGATGCTATTACCCCTCCTTCTGAGCCTCGTGAACAGTTTTGCATTCTCCCCTCATAATTAAAAAAGCTTCACAGTTCATTCTGCCACTATCGGACATCTATATTTGGCCCGTTTGACCCTCCTCTATGATCCGCAATGACGACTATGACGCGCGACGACTACACAGTCGCATAGATATGCGTCTTACCGCTGGAAGCAGCAGCAGCCCGCAGTATGCTGGACAGAACCCACAGTCCGCTACCTATACCCTCTACTGATTCGAATGCCTACCAACTTAGTGAACTAAACGGCCACTGTATTGTGATCGCCAGCCTACCAAACGGTATATATAGCAAAGTGTCTGCCGTAACTATGAGATCTTGCATGCGCTCGACCTTTCCTCAGCTTCAATATGGATTGATGGTGGGGATCGGAGGCAGAGTTCCAGGTAAAAGTCATGACATTCGATTAGGCAATGTAGTAGTAAGCAAACCAGCTGGAAAGCACAGTGGAGTGATCCAGTATGATTATGGCAAGGCGATTCAAAATGGTCAATTCGAGGCAACAGGAACCGTGAACAAACCACCACAGGTGCTTTTGACACATATGGGCCAATTAGAGGCTAAACAAATGACTGAAGGCGAGGACGCTCTTTCTCATATAGTGGATGAAACCTTGATACGAAACTCTAATATGCAAGGACGATTTTCACCTCCAGACCAGCATGCTGACTTTTTATTTCAATCCTCTTATCATCATATCGCCGGGGAAGGTACTTGTGAATATTGCGACAAAGAAAAGTTATATAAACAACAACCAAGAAAGACAAGAACACCTCGGATTCACTATGGGTTGATTGCATCAGGGGATCAAGTAATAAAGGACTCAGAAACACGAGATCGCCTAGCACAGCAGTATGGAATCCTCTGCTTTGAAATGGAGGCGGCCGGGCTGATGGATGAGCTTCCAACTCTTGTGATCCGAGGGATATGCGATTATTGCGACTCTCATAAACAGAAACAGTGGCAAGGATATGCAGCATTGACAGCAGCTGCTTATGCAAAATTGCTGCTATTAGCAATTCCTGTTAGCCGTCCAGATGCCAACTTAATGAACAACAAGAAGATGAGGCACTGGATAGTACCGCTCGCAAGGAATCCCAACTTTGTCGGGCGTCAGGATGAGATCACAAAACTGGAAGAATCAATAACAATGCAAGACGGTCCTAGAAAAATCGCTATCACCGGGCTAGGCGGGGTCAGGAAGACCCAAGTGGCCCTGGAGCTCGCACACCGCATCCGGGACCGAGATAAGGAGTGCTCAGTCTTCTGGATCCCCTGTACCAGCCATGCAATAATTAAGCAGATGTTGCTGCAAATTGCACAGATACTCGGGCTTTGTGTTGTAAATCCGGCAGACATTAAAGAACAGGTTAAGAGCTACCTTAATACTGAGCGTGCTGGAAAGTGGCTTCTAATTCTTGACAATGCAGATGATGCAGAGATGTGGTTAATGGGTAGCCACACGGCTCCACCTCTTGAGGATTTTCTCCCGGAAAGTGGACAAGGCCGTATTTTGTTTACCAGTCGAAACCGAAAACTCGCCATGAGGCTGGCACCATTCAATATTATTCCGATCCCAGATGTAGATGAAGAAACAGCAGCTAAAATATTAGAAAAGACACTGGGACACAAGGACTTGCTCAGAGATCCTGCCAGGCTTGTCATCGATTAATCGATAAGGTGCCGATAAATAATCGTTATCGGTGAGCGATAACGATAAATTATCGATGATTCATCGATGATTTCTTGGCATTACGGTCCGGGCTTCGATTCAATACAATCTAAGGATTTAACTAGTATTTCTCCTCTGCAATCCCACTCTTTTGCCAGTTTTTTAAGCACTCTATCCTCTCGATGTTTTCAGCTGATAGTTGAGCCCTTTCCCAAGAGATTATACGACGAGCGCCAGAGAAAACTCGTTCTAGTTCATCACTTATCGCAGGAATCGATAGAATGTCAATCGCCATGTATAACAATCTTGGCCAATGTTTTTGCTGTTGATCCTAATACCACCATATCAGAGCACTCATGCGGACCTCATATGCAGACTCAGAATTGTAATCTTCATATTCATCCTGACTTGCTAGTCGAGCAAACTTGCCCAAATCTTAAGCAATTAGGTTAAAATTATCAAGGTCTTGAGTATTCTGCTCATATGATTGTATAACTATATAATTAGGAGTCTTTTGCCGATACTCCTCCCAAAGCTTCTTTACCTTCTATAATGTAGGCTTTTGCTAGCTCTTTCTCCAGTTCACTTCAATATACTTTATTCGACGAGCAGGATGGAGAATGAGCGCTGCAGCATAGAGGGGAGATTCATCTGACTTGCTATAGTATTTATTAAAGATATCCCACCCATTCTGAATCTGAGAACAGAATTCCCTATCTGATATAAATTCAATCTGCCATAATTTAGAATAATTTATCATATACTGCTGGATAGTAATTAATACTTACAAGAGCTTTCTCAAAGTGTTTGATAATAATATCTATCACAAAAAGCATATTGTCAATTGTCGCTTGATCTCTGTAATGGGAGGTTAGTCCGTTGGTTAGACAGGAGGAATTATCAATATGGCGGAAGGTCGTTCGGTGACTTCCAGATGTTCATTAACAAAGGGTACTGTTCCTAATGTACAGAGACTGAAGCTTGAGAAAGGAAAACAATCCTAGTTACAAGGAATCTTTTTCTTATGCATGCGTGAGTTGACGACAGGAGATATCAAGTTATCCACCTAATTGGTGTGACTTGTGGCTTGTCACAGATATCATATGTACTGTTTCAGGCTTTAGTACTGTTACAATCTCCTTGGGTCTTCAGGGTTGCTCAATTAAAGAGACAAAGAAATTTGCTAGTTCTATAGCGCATCTCCTAGTCTAATAGGGACAGATACTCTGTTTTAAGCTCAGCAAAGTGCCGTTTAGTATAAGTGTTAATGACACCATCAAACTGGAGCGCCATGTGAAGCATATAGTATCAGCTATTCTACCTGGTGCGGTTATTGAGTGGAATCAACCTCCCTACAAGATCTTTGAACTCTTTAGTTCGGCCAGCTGAACCACGAATGTGCGTCACTATGTTATGGAGTTTTCCCAGCGGGTCTATTTTATGAATAGTGGCCTGTCTCTACAACTTGTCTTCTTCCTGTCCCTCATCTTCTATAGTTTCTATTTTATCCTATGAACTTAGTTGCTTCATCTCTAGCATATTTTGAAATAGAAATACTTGCATAGCCAAGTTAATAACATGGCCAATATAGAAGATGCGACAATATGTAGAGTTCCACGTAATTCCTTCTTCTTCCTGAAGAAAATTTCCTAATACTTGACAAAGCTTATTATTTGCAGTGTGATTATCATAAATAATTGACCTAATCTTTTGTTAGATACTATAGTCTTTCAGAACAGGAAGAAGAGTAGCGAACTGCTCATCTCCACTATGGTTTCCTACAGTTCGAAGAGCAAGGAGGCCTTTACAAAGCTTTTCTTGAGTCTGCTCAACAAAGTGAGCATAGATTCTGAGAAAGAGGATCCGATTTGGTGAGGTCCAGATGTCAAGTGAAAGATGGATGCTTGATGATGCAGATTGAAGCTTTTTCCGTACAATATCCTTTCGAGCTTGCCAGGATTGTTTGATCCTTTTAGGAACTGAGGTATGTGCTATGATAATATAGCTCTCCGATTCTGGATTTAGCACTCGGCAAGAGCATGAAATTCAGACCATTCAACAAGGGAGAATGGAATATTTCGTATAATAATTAATGAGACCAACGCTTTATTAATAACATCCTGGCTCAGAATCCTCTGAAAAACTTTTATATCAATATTTTGGGTTTGACCAAATGACTGTGCTTTGATGTAAAGCTGCTGAAGCTGGTGGACTATAGTCTGTTGTAGTGTACTTGGAGCAGATTCGACGGAGATTTAATGCCTTGATTTCAGATGATTCTGCATGTTTGTAGTAACTGGAGTGCTGTATGGTGAATCTGTACAGTGGATGCAGTATTTTATGGCAGATTTTTTATGAAATTGCACTTCATTATCCCGTGCTGGTCGAGTATAGGCCCATGTCATCAAGCCTGTTAAAGTTTTCCCCCTATTTGAGTTGGCGGTATTGAACTCAGTTTCAACAGAATCAAGTGTAGGGACATACAAAAGACTGGATGAATCAGTATCGAATCCATTTTTGAGTACGATGATTACAATTCATGGGGAATTAGAAAAAGTAGTATTAACATGAAGCTTTTCATAATTATCGATAGTCGGTGAGTGGGCGGTGAGGATTCTGCCGATTATCGACAATAATTATCGATAGGCAACTTATCGATGACAAGCCTGGATCCTGCTACATCTACTACTCTCCTTAAACAAATCTCCTTTCTCCCATTAGCAATTGCGCAGGCATCAGCTTACATTCTTGAAAACGGCATCAATTTGTCTACCTACCTTACACTGCTCCAAGAGCAGGAACAAGATGCTGTGGAACTCCTAAGCGAAGACTTCAAGGATCCAGGACGATACAAAGATATTCAGAATCCTGTGATCACCTCCTGGCTAATATCATTCAAACAGATCCAACAGCAAGATCAATTAGCTGCTAACTATCTATCTTTTATTGCCTGCATCGATCCGCGAAACATTCCCCAGTCCATACTTCCTCAAGCTGCATCCAGAAAGCAGAAAGTCGATGCTTTGGGGCTTTTAAATGCATACTCCTTTATGAACAGCCAAGACATGGATATCAATATGCACCGACTGGTACATATTGCAACCCGAAATTGGCTTAGGAAGAATGCGCTATTCAGCTACTGGATCCAAAGAGTGGCTGATAATATGCAGAATGTATTCCCAGATAATCACCACACCAAACGAGGACTTTGGCGGGAATATCTTCCTCACGCTTTAGCAGTTGTGCATGAAGATGAATTTGTGGTACAAGAGAACAATTACTTGACTTTGACTAAGAAGGTAGCAGATTGCCTTGCTAGTGATGGAAGATATAAAGAAGCAGAGGTACTTTATAAGAGGCTGATGACGATCAACCAGGAGAAAGCTGGTGCAAAACATCCCTCCACTCTGAGCAGCATGGCAAACCTGGCATCAACATTTTGGAAACAGGGTCGATGGAATAAAGCTGAGAAGCTGGAGTTGCAAATAATGGAGACAAGGAAAACCGTGCTGGGAACTGAGCATCCTGACACTTTGACTAGCATAGCAAACCTGGCATCAACCTACCGAAATCAAGGTCGATGGAATGAAGCTGAGAAGCTAGAGGTGCAAGTATTGGAGACATCTAAGACCGTGCTAGGAGCTGAGCATCCTAATACTCTGATCAGCATGGCAAACCTGGCATCAACCTACCGAAATCAAGGTCGATGGAATGAAGCTGAGAAGCTAGAGGTGCGAGTGTTGGAGGCAAGGAAGACCGTGCTAGGAGCTGAGCATCCTGACACTTTGACCAGCATGGCGGGCCTTGCCTATACTTGGAAATCTCAGGGAAAAATGCACAATGCCTTAACTCTAATGAAACAATGCTCTCACCTGAGAAACCAAGTATTAGGGCCTAGTCATCCGAAATCCAGGTCAGCGTCTTGTACTTTCCTTGACTGGGTAGATGAGCATAAAGCATTGTCAAATCAATCACCGCTCACCGGGAACAATTGTCTGCAGCCTCTTTCAGCCTCATCAGCCGTGCTCACCGCTTATGTGACCCGTGGAGTGCACATCAATCCACCTTATGCCCCAGCTGTTAAATCATTCCTTGGAAATCACCCTCTCATCATAGCTGCTAGAACACCCTCGCCTAGGGCTGAAGGCCAAGACATACAAGATGTGGATTAGTTTGGTGCGGCCATATTTTCACCATACAACTTGACAAAATACAACTCATATGAATAGTGCAGTCTCAACCTTGCAACATCCGTATAGTACGTGGAAATTATTGTGTTCTAGCATAGTACACATCTAGGCGCAGATATGACGTAGACAACGTTTGATACTCCGAAACCACTTAAAGTTCATCTAATTAATGGTGCGGCTCAGGTCATATTGCACGAATATAATCCCAAACGACGGCTGGGTCTGTCGATAGTAGAATAGACAACTAAGTTACAAACCATGCCTAGCCTACCAAATTCGTTGTACTGGTACGTCCCGTACGTATCGTAAATTACCTAAATACCAGTCTAAACCTAGTATAGATTAGGGTACAGGAGTGGCGCCGAGAGAAAGTCGAAGAGTTGCAAAACATGTAAAGCCGCACTTGCAAGGGGCTGTAACCTGGCCAATTATAATATTTTTCGGCCTTTAAAAAGGTGGCTATGTACAGGGCACCTAAGACGTACAGAAATGAGACATCTAACGCTGCAATCATCAGATGATATGCTTTGACCTCCAGACAAGCTCCCAGTCGGATTTCAGGTTGATGTTTTGAAGGAGACCCAGCATTATCTCAAGCAGCGAATGGTCAATGCTCTCAGAATTCCGTCTCAGACACAATACGTCCCATAACATTTGATGCAAAACTGTTACAGTACAAGACTATTGCAAGACCCCTTCAATTACGCCGAGGCTTGGATCCTCTGCGGGGATAAACCAATCGTTCTGGAACATCTGTGCTTGTCACACTAGCCAACAGAGTAAACCAGTGGGGCTTGGCCTTGTCCCAGTGTAGACCGGGCGGGTCGGGCCTGCTGGAGGGTTTTACCCCACCGCCAGCTCACTTCACCTGTAGTCACACCACACCCACACATGTAAGTTTGCATATTTTCGCTGCTGGCACGGAAAAACTAGTACTCCAGGTGACTCCGGTTCCTCGGCATGTATGTACTTTAATATAGGCTCGGTACGTGGAAGAGCTTCCTTTACATAACATACCAACTCCAGAGCAGCGGAAGGAGCCTCATAGGACTATGATGCCAGCCCTGAGACCCTGTCAGCCGGTGTGGTTGGTATGTTGGCTACATTGTACGTTGCCTACTCGACGAGGCTGTTTTTCCCCTACAATAGAAACACAAGGAAATCAGCCTTACTCAAGGATGCTGCGCCCTGCATGGGATATCTTGCAACGCCCGCATGCATCAGTGTGAAGTATAGTAGCCCTTTAAAAGTACAATGAGCAACAATGGTGTGATAGCCTTATTTCTGGCCGTGCAGCAGCCATAAAGGAAACAAAAGGCGAGTGGCTACTTAAAACGTCTCCAGTCTTCTGCTCTTCCCACTTCCGTCGCCCTCCGCTGCAACCTCAACGGCAAGGCGACCATGTAAGACGGATCACCCTACTTGCATGTATGGATTCTCGGAAGCCTATTACTTATCCCGTTAGTGAGTGGGAAGGGACGCCATTGTCCTTTTCTCATCGAGCCGGTCGGTGAGAATCCAAGAGACGAGGTGCTTTTCTTAGTCAACCTGATTTTGAGAAGGTACGACGACACATAAACAAGATTTTGAGGAGCAGGAGAGACAACATAGACAACATTGAAGACGATATCGGTCATTTTTATGCCACATTTGACATGACAGGAACTTAATGTAGTAAGTACAATCTCGCTTAGTACAACATCCTCCAGCTTGCGCAATGAATGAGCAATCAATTACTCGCAATCCACAGGTGGGTGATCAACTTTAGGAATAATTTGATTGGCCATGCTGAGTTTCATTTTATTGACTATATCCAATTCCATTTCTATATGTGCTATTTTATAGTAAAATAGCCTATTTGTGGGTTGGCTTATAAAGCCAATAAAACAATTTACGTACGTCCGTACACGCGCTTTAGGTGGTACTCCAAGTACTATGGTCAAATGTATTCAATCGTCTGTGTTCTCTTAATGAGGCCCCGACGCGGTCTATGTAGTCCTTGCTTGATGAGGTCACGTGTACCTTCACGTGACCTCTCCTTGGTTCGCGTCGGTGCCAAGAATCTCGATTGCACATATAAACCAACACTATTTTCTTTTCTTCAATTGCTATTTGTCCTATACAATCAACGATGAATTGTCGATGTTGTAAAATAAACCCATCTGACGAGGCCGACTAGGATGCTAACAGCTCCCCGGACGACGCCGCAGCAGTGCTACCTCAGCCGGATGATCCTGTAGTCTTTTTCACCGAGGATAACCCTAATACGGAACAGATGTCCATGACTGATGGAGGAGAGATTTTTGTGTTTTTTGCTGGTATAGTCACCTGTGGTGTGTTCTACACTATGGTGATATACCGAACTGTGCCGACCGATTTTGCTCTGGGTTATTATTCAAAAATCCCTTTCAAGGGCTATTGGCTATTATTCAAAGGTACCGGAATTCGAGCAATTGCGATATATAGAGGATAAAATCGATCGAGAGTAAATTTGGGCCTCAATCACCTTGTTTTTTTTAAGCCTCCTCATCCTCTCTAACATACCAACATGATGATGTCTCTAAAACGGTGGAAATACCCAATTTCACAAGATGATCCAAAATGTAAGGGTATTCCTGTAGCCTAAAGTATTACTCAAATTAATTCCTCCCGAGCCACGCATGAATCAAGCTCAATACAACTGTAGCGCCAGCCTTGTGGTGCCTTGTAGAATTTATTAATTAATCGGCCAACCCCGTCACCTCCCGTGGACTTCTCAACATCTTAACTTCATTCGATGAACACCACCAATTTACTATACACTACATACTCTGCCTATAATGTCACTATCAGACTCCGAGGACTCCGATACTGTCCTGGTCGGTGGCGATGATATTCGTGATTTCAACGAAGAAAACATCCTTCCTCTGCCAGCAGATGAACTCCAGAAGATCAGAGATTGGCTGCAGCCCACACCCTATGATCTAGAGAGATCCGAGTTTTCGCGGCATCTTGCGTCGTACCTTCAGGGCACCGGTCAGTGGCTCATATTCACAAACACATACAAACAGTGGCACCAAGGCGACGAGAATGGCCTCCTTTGGATCAAAGGCATACCGGGATCCGGCAAGTCTGTCATAACTGCGTCGATAATCCAGCAGTTGCGGCAAGAAGAGGTTCCAGTTCTCTACTTCTTCTTCCGACAGATTATCGATGCAAATCATCAACCGGTGGCCGCGCTGCGGGACTGGCTTTGTCAAATACTTTCTTTCAGTCCACCCTTACAGGTCAGACTGAGACATGAATACCTACGAAATAAACGATCTATTGAGAGTTTGGCTGTGAGCGACCTTTGGAAAGAGCTCAAATTTGCTCTGTCTGCCTTTCCCAAGGTCTACTGTGTCACAGACGCGTTGGACGAGATGGACCAAGGCAACAATGATTTTCTCCTCTCTTTGGCTGAGCTGGGCCAGTGGCGTGCTGCAAACGTCAAAGTACTCATCACCTCACGCCCAGTGGTTGCGGTTGAGGCTCCCCTGCGGCCCTTTCATATACCTTATATTCTGTTGGATGAACGACTCGTGGATGTGGACATTGCTGCCTATGTGCAGCACAGATTGCGCAACTCGTCCGTTCCCTATGAATACTGGGATCTAGTAACTGAAGCTGTCTCCGGTCGGGGAAATGGGCTCTTTTTATATGCAAAGCTTTCAATGGATGCCTTTGTCAATCCGGGCGCAGATCCCAAGGAGGTACTCAAAACGTTGCCTGTAGATCTGAACGTGATGTATAACGATCTATTGCGTGAGCATGCGAAGCGATCAGATGTCACTGACGAGTTCCAGCTACTCATCTTGCAAGTCATCACACATGCAACTCGACCTCTCCGTCTGCTAGAAGTTGCAGAGATGGCCAAATCTACCCATGACCCATTTGAAGATTACACTTTGAAAGAGATCAAGAACCTGGTTCGAACTGCTTGTGGCCCGCTACTAGAGATTCTTCATGATGAAACTGTCTCTGTTATTCACCACTCATTTACCGAGTTTCTCAAAGGATTCACTCGCTCAAACCCTTTGGATCATTCGACCTACCCTGTCCTGGAGGCCGGTCCAACTAACCAGCGTCTTGCCATTGCATGCATGGATTATCTTACATCTGGCTGCCTGGATAAAGTTGAGATCAAACAGCGCTTTAACAAGGACGGATTTTTTCATCCCAAAAATGGTCAGCAGAGTGGCAGCAGGCTCCAGTTCCCATTCCTCGAATATGCAGCTGCTAATTGGCACATACATGCTCGTCGCACCGCCCTGGCCGGTGTAGATATGTCATCATTCTATATGACACTGGACGATTTCGTTGCGAACAAGCAAAGATTCGTGGCCTGGCTGGATATCGACTGGCCGGAAAATGAGATCCAAGGCCTCACTCCACTCCACGCTGCGGCTCGCACTGGATTGACTCAATATGCTAGACAATTGCTTCAGGAAAGAGACGCTGACCCTAACGCCATCAGTCGTCATGGCGACACCCCTCTCTATTGGGCCGCTCTAGACGGCCATGCGGATGTTGCGCAGCTTCTTATTGACAATGGTGCGGATCCGGATGGAGAGGCAAACGAAGGATACAAACCGCTTCACAAAGCTGCTAGCTGGAACCGAGCCAACGTGGCCAAGGTTCTGCTTGCGGCCGGTGTTGATCCTCTCACGCCAAAAACGCAAGGTTCCCCAGGCAGAAGGTGTGGCAATGCCCCAACATCGTTCGGCCATACCCCGTGGATGTACGCTTGCAACCGTGGACACACTGAAACCGTGGCTGAATTCCTGCCTTACATCAAAGATTCAGAAACACTACTACGGGGTCTTTTCTGGGTGGCAGCAGCAGGAAATGCGGACTGCGTGGATCTGATGCTTCAGCAGCCAGGTATGGACGTGAATTCCAAGTACTCAGGAGAAACTCTCCTTTTCAAAGCCTGCTACAAGGGGGATATGAAAATTATAAAGTTTCTTCTCAAAGCCGGGGCAGATCCCAATATTCTTTGTGATTATCCTAAGCATGAGTTTGCGGGCAGGAATTCCTTTCATATGCATGGGCAGCATAGAGGAGATCCGAAGCAGACTGATGAACCAAGGGGCTACACTGCTCTGCATGCTCTATGCGGAATCAGGAGCAGGATAGGCTATCGTCCTGCAGGAAAAGATTGCGTTTCAATCCTCCTAGAAGCTGGTGCGAGTGTTCATTCAAAGTGTCCGGATGGTAAAACTGCGTTGCATTTTGCCTGTGCACACAACATAGAAGTTGTACCACTGCTATTGAAGGCAGGTGCAGACCCGACAGCTGAGACTGATAGCGGAAGCACAATATTACACACTGATGGATCCACTGACAAGGAATTGCTACCGATACTGTTGGGGTCAGGGCTTGTCGACGTCAATGAGCTGATGACAAAAGGAGAGAATCCCCTCTTCACTCGGCTTCAGGGCCATCATACTGATTCTATTATTGAGCTCCTCAAGTACAAACCAGATGTGAATATGGCAAGATCGGATGGAGATCGCCCACTACATGTGCTTTTTGATAAATTCAGTTCATTCAGTTCCGACAAGCATATTGCCCTTGACGCTCTACTTTCAGCCGGCGCCGATCCAAATCTGCAAAATTCAAAGGGAGAGACACCGCTACATCTAATCGGATTGAAAAAGGAGCCTAAAGCAGTCTCTAAGCTTGTGAATGCGGGTGCAGACCTCGAAATCCGAGATTTGGAAGGTCAAACAGCTCTTTTCAAGAATGTCATGTACAACAAGATAGCCGACGACAAAGATACGCTTTCCAATACGCTGATTGAGTTGGGCGCCCGACTTGACACGCGGGACAACAAGGGCAGGACTTTGTTACACCAGGCTGTCAGAAATACCAGTACTTTGGACTATCTGATAGCTCGAATGGATTTCGATCCTGCTGTTGTTGACGACAAAGGAAATACACTCTTCCTTGAGGCCGCATCGACAAAACGACGGGGTTCTGTCCAACTCGCAGGATACATGCATCTGACGAAGTTGGGGGTGGATATTGACCAGCCCAACAATCATGGCAAGACGTTATTGCACAAGATGTGCGCGAAGGATTGCAGACTCACTAGCTGGAACCCTACTAAAAAGACTGCATTCGACTATGTCATCGAACAATGCAAGAATCTAAGCCCTCGCGACGTCAATGGAGTCCAGCCCTTGCATGTTGCAGCCGCCATCTCCGAGGATTATGTTTTCAAACTTCTCAATGCCGGCGCAGATGTGTTCGGAACCACAAACGAGGGCATGACGGTGCTCCATGTTGCAGCTCGCGCCCAAAAGCCTGGTGTCATTGGCCTTGTTCTTTCAAGACTTGCTGATGTGGAAAAGGCCACATCGGAAGCGTTCATCAACCAGAAAAGTGCAGAGGGTGACACAGCGCTTCACTACGCTTGCCGCGCTGGTCGTCCTGAAAGTGTTGATTTCCTGCTAGATGCTGGTGCTGATCTTAATTCACTTGGCAAATATGGATACACCCCGCTCAGGGCGTGTGCTGATTTTGAAGTTGAACAATCACGGTGGTGGAGAGCTGTTGCAAAGGATGATACCAAACAGGGTATTACTAAAGGAAAAAGATCAGGCAGCATCTTTCTCGATCTGCCACCAACTGCTGATGATCTTGAAGAGCGCAAACAGCGCAGTTATGGTATGCAACAACAGCCAGATCCAACCTATCTGTATAAAATTTTAGTCTCTTTGGTTCTTCACGGAGCAGATAGCAGCAGACATGAAATATCCCTTCGCGAGGCGTTCCACGATGCTGTACTCCATCAACGAGACTATACCTCCCAGTGTCTGTTAAGATTACAGTCTCGCTTTTTCCCCAATATGGATCTTCTTAAAGGGTTAGATGCTGAGGCCTGGATCGCCTCCAAGTCTCGATTGGAAAGTAAAATGTCATCCCTGAGGGAGCAGTATACTAAGCTCAACACTTGGCAAATCAAGGTCGAATACCACAATCGATCGCGGGCTTCTTATTTGCAAAAGCTGGTGGACCTTCGTCAATATGAAGTGCTGGAAGAAACAGTGTCAAACGTGGATAATCTTGAACTTGACCGGACCAATATTTCTATACTGCCCACCCTTGCACGTCTTGGCCTCTCAGATGTTCTGAAGCGCGTCTGTACCCGTGAATCCGCATGCAAATTCGATGATCATGAGTGGTGCAATCAAACAGAGATTGCGAATAACATACCCGAACTCACAACAGAGCCGCTGCTTATAGTCGCGTGTAACCGAGAAATTCCCAACATGGCAGTGGTTCGGCTCCTTGTTGAGATGGGCGTTAATATCAGTGCAACGTCTAGGAAGGAGGTGTTCATCGACAATCGCAAACGGCGCGAGAACGTATCAGGTCACAGCGTTCTCCATGATATTGCCCAGGGAAAGACTTGGTGGAATGTACACGAGGCGCTGCCTTACCTGATCCAAAAAGGGGCTGATCTGGAGGTGCGCAATACGAGTGGGGATACTCCGTTGCACATTGCTGTGGAGGAAAACATGTTCAAGGGCGTCTTTTACAAGGAAGCAGTACAGATTCTTCTAGAGGGTGGTGCAGATGCCAATTCTGTGAATAACCATGGAGAATCTTGCCTATCAAAAGCCGGTACCGATACTAAGCTGATCAAGTTGTTGACATTGCACGGTGCTGCTGTCTCCGCAGCAGCCATTTTCTCCGCGATTGAGCTCCAGCAAGACAAATTATTGGAAGCTTTTCTCTCTCATGGAGATTTTGCTAATCTGAGGCAATCAGGGATTCCACCCTTGTTTCATGCCGCGTTTTACAGAGTTCGAGACAACCGTGTGAAGGATGACGACCTTACCCCTGCCCGAATGCGCTTGATGACAGCGCTTCTTCGACATGGTGCAGACCCATATGCCACTTTTGAAAATGGCCCAGAATCAGAAACAGGTAGCCTCATACACGAGATCTTGCAGAGAGGATTTGTAACCGAGCCACTACTCGACCTTCCATCCCTTCGGCTTGAAACACGTGATGCCAAAGGTCAAACGTTGCTTTTAGCGGCTTCCCGAAGCCGTCATATAAAGCGATTTGAGGACCTTCTCGCCCGTGGAGCAGACATTACTGCTCAGGATCAAGAAGGCAGGACTGTTGTGCACAACCTCATGAATCATAATCCCGGAGAGGCAACGTACAAGTGCCTCGAGGCTCTTTTCAACCAGAACTCCAACCTCGTCCATATGCCCGACAAAGCCGGTGATACTCCACTCCACTATGTGCTGAAATCAAAGGAGATATACCTCAATGACTATTTCAGTAACAAAAAAAGTGAAAGTGGACGTGGACGCGACATCGACCTGTTGCTTAAATACGGCGCCGATCCGCTTCGACCGGACTCGGATGGAAACACAGCTCTCCATTTTTTCGCTCAGATGCCCCGTCGCTTCAAATCACGTATTGAACAATTTCAAGGCCTTGGAGTGGACATCAACGCACGCAACAAAACAGGAAATTCCCCCATCTTCGAGTATATTGCACACGGGGACCTGAGAGCTGGAGGACCTTACGGGTATGTTAATAACAGCGAAGTCGAGGACCTCGACGATATTCACCATTTGCGATATTTCAAGGAAGCTGGGGTTGATTTCTTCGCACGTAATGATGCAGGATCTTCGCTGCTTCATGTTGTGGCTGGCCGGAAACTTGGGAAACACCGTCACGTGCATTATCAAGAAGAAATCACAGTGCCGATCGAGAATGCTATCAACTGGTTTGAGTTCCTCACCGGTATCGGCTTGGATCCTATGCTCGAGGATGCTCAGCAGCGGACTTGTTTAGATGTTGCTGCCGCTTGTGACAATGAGCATATTTTGAAGTTGTTTCGGCAGAAGCCTATCGATTGAAGCTTGGACGGAGAAACATGATATAGGAATATGACGAGGCAGAAGCGATGCATAGAAGCACGAAAAAAAGTACTTGGGCTGGAGCATCCTGTCAGCATTCGTTGAGGCTTTCTATATCAACATGGGAATGATATAAGGAAGCGAAAAAAACATCTCCTTCCGCGCGAATCGAATTTTTGAAATTGCGCGCCCAGATCTGGTTGAAATCAGCTGTAAATTTCGCAGTTTATTCCTCAAGTTAAGAGCTATCAATCAAGCCTAGTTTTACTAGGTAAGATAGTGGTGATAGCTTAGAATACTATTATAACTCTTTTATCAGCTAAAAATCTTATTTATGATTGAAATTATTAGGGAGTGAAAATTTAGTCGAATGGTGAAATGATTCATCAGGAAATCAATTTATTCATAAGGGTAATGATGTTGGTTTATAGGTGCAATCGAGATTCCTGGCACCGACGCGAACCAAGGAGAGGTCACGTGAAGGTACACGTGACCTCGTCAAGCAAGGACTATATAGACCGCGTCGGGGTCTCATTAAGAGAAGGGAACAGACAATCAGAAGAATATGACTTTACCAATTGGTTACTAAGCTACTTGTATGCACATGTGCAGAAGCGAACCCACAAATGAGTAAATTTTTCTATCACAGGTGATAGATGTGTTGAATATAGAATATCTCGGTGGATGTGTTGTTCTGATAAGGAAGTGGGTCTGTGCATACATGGTATATATAATCAGGCCATCTGCCCCTCAAGATTAGAATAACAATGAACAACTTACTACACTCAACTTCAACAAGATGTCCAGGTATAATTGATCTTATTGGACAACGCGGAGTTCCAAGTCTAAGTCCCGGTGATAAAACCGAGATATAATTTCTCTCATTGGACAAAATGCTCAATCCCGATCTGTCGAAATTTAACCTACATTTCCAATCCAGGCCCTGTCAATCACCTGTCGATCATTCCTTAACTGAACCACTGAACGTCGATGGACGTCAGCGTTTGTAAGTATACTCCGCTTCAAATCCGTGAAGGGTTATTTCCGGCTGCCAAGCCAGCAACGGACGGGAAAGCAGCACTAAGCTTTACTAGCCTATTTTAGGATAGTGTTACTCCTTGGCGGAGTGGTTGTAGGTTCAATGTTTCCGGGAGTGCTTACCAGACTATACGGCCATACTACACCGAGCCATCAGCTCGGTCATCACACAGATGCGCACCTCCAAGATCTCCCTACGCACATACCTCCACGACATCAACAAAGCCGACACCAATCAATGCCAATGCGGCCACGGCTGCCAGACTATCCGCTATATCCTTCTCGAATGTAGGGACTAGATGGATGAACGACACTAAATATAGATAGGCAAAGCTCCATGTATGGACAATTGAGATTGCCATGACATATGTTGAGGACTTCATGGATATATCTCAATCCGTGTAAGATCTACATTCTGGTCAATCGTCCACTGACAAAGTGCTTGTGTGTTTGAGACCTTTTTGCAAATACTGGCCATTGCCACTGCATCTCGACTTTTCAGCGCGTACAACTTTTTCAAGGAAGCTCCTGGTCTCTCATAACTGAAGTAGAGCCCATCTCCAGTCCTTGACATGCCCGTGAGGTTCACCAAGTTTGGATGATTGGTTCGCCGTACAAGATCATATTTCCGGAGAGAGTCACTAACGGTCATTTTTTTGACCAACGTTGGTTGAGAAGAGATATCGCCTATCCTCATTCCAGAGTATTCATCTCCGTACATACCTGGAAATCGGATGAAGATGCTATCCATCCGAGAGAATGGAAACATTTCCCAAAAGACGAAGGGACGTTGGCTAGTCGCCCCTTTGTCCGGAATTTCCTCGTATTCATCAACTTGAGAAGAAACCGATGAATGACTGGTCATACTCATTTCAGATTGAGATTAGCTTAGCCGGCAGAAGGTAGGAATGATTGACATTATCGAGGGGAAGTACACGATTTATATATTTCAGGAGCAGCAGCCACCCCTGAAAATCACTAACGGGGTCGTGACTAAGCTAAACATATCGGGATATAAGTACTTAGCTCAAAACAGGAAGCCATTCAGGAACTCAAGCCCATTACCTTATTGGTCATTCAAAACGGGCGGATGACTCAGCTGTGTGTTCAAGATTCATCGATAAGAGTATTTATTCGATTGGCAGAAATAGTATCTATCGTTCCCGATCACTCGATGCCTCCGATCACTCGATGCCCGCCCTTCCGAAAATTGCTCCAAGCTCTATAATTTATAATATATCTTCAACAAATAAAGTTATAATTATTAAAATTAAGATTATTAGATAAAAATGTGTGGTGAACAAACCAGCATAATTATCTAATCCCTAAATCGTATAGGTAGGTTGATCGCTCGCCCAGAACGAGATATGCCTGTTTTTGGCCTCTTTGAAGAAACCTCCTCATTACTCTCGATAACCTTACTGTATCGCCTCTTTTTAGTGTTTACCTGCTTTGCTGGCCTTTCTTTAGCTTGCTTTACCTCCTTCTGGGCTTCCCGGGCCACGCGAAGTTGCTCCTTTTCAAGTTCTTTTTGACGCCTTTTCTCCTCTCGTTTATAGATTCGAGTCTCTCGCTGTTCCTGGATCTCTTGGGCCTTCCGTTAGCGCGCAAATGCCTTTTGTGTACATCGGTTTGCTGCCTCGATCTTTCCTTATTCCTTTTGTAACTCAATATTTTGTATTTGCTATCGTGCAGCTTCAATTCTGCCTAGTGAGAAGAATTGTGCCTCACCGGGATTATCCTTATCAATTAAACCCAGTGGCCGGCCTCGCTTCTGCCGTTTTTTCTCTCCAATTAATGCATTAACCAAGCCTTGCTGCTGATGTTCAAGTATTTCATTCTGTACTGTATATTTTTGAAGTGCTTTAAGAGCAAGTTATGTAGCCTCTGATAGATCACTCTTTTCCTGTCGAATGGCTTTGAGTATACGACAAATTGCTTGAACAGATCCTGGAGTCTTTCATTTATTTTTAATATTGCTTGAGATTGGCGATGGCGTCTTTTTTTTGAGAATGTGAAGAACCTTTGGTGGGTTAAAAGGGTGAATGCCCGGTGCAGCAAAAGCTGATCGAATGTTTTGCAATGTTAAAGTTAATTTCCATACAGCATAGAATAATCGCCAAAAGGATGCTTTTGTTATCCTTGAAAATCCACTACTCAATTGAGTAAGTCGATCAATCTCATGGGAATAAGCACCTGCAAGAGGTGGAAAGATTCCAACGTCAAGCGGCTGTAATTGATGTATAGAGTGTAGAGGTAAAATACCGAGAATTATATTGTTTTGATCACAGTATTCGATAAAACGAAGATTAACATGGCCTGAATGACCATCTGTAAGCAGAAGGCGCTTTAAATTGCCTGCTTTTGTCTTTGTATAAGGGTCAAAGATCTTGGTTAGCCATAAAAATCTAAGCTCTTCATTTGTCCAACCCTTTTCAGAAGTTGCAAAGTATGCCTTCTCTCTTGAGCCGTCAAAATCTTTAAGCCAAGTATCTTGTAGATCTCCTGACTCGCCTTGATAAATAAGAGCTGGAGGAATTGCTATTCCATTAGCACAAATATATGCAATAAGAGTAATAAATTCTGTGCTCCCGTCTTGAATTGCACCAAGTAATTTCTTTGAATGGAGCTAAGATTTTAAGACAATCCGCTTTTCAGTATGACAGAGGCCTATATTGAATCCTTTCTCATCAAAGTTATAGGTATTTAATGGGCTGATGTGATATTTTTTGACTTTCTCTATGAGCTTTAACGCGTCTCAACGCGTCCGGCAACACTATGGCGTGTAAAGGCCCTGGTACAGATGGCCCTCTACAGACAGCCCTACTAGAATCCACGTCCGCAGCCATAACAAGAGCTTCTGAAGAACAGAAGATCTTTAGCCCTATAGCTGCATTCCTTGATAAACATCGCAGCCAAACCACCAGCCTGGCCCCTCACCTACTGAGAGCCCTCACTGCTCTAAGGGATGACCTCACCTCAGTAGCCCAACGACATTTCAACGCCTATATCAGCGGTATCTCGACGACCTCCATTCTACCTGCCCTGTCCCCTTCCCCTTCCCCTT